CAGCTAAATGAAAAGACTAGCTAGGTCTTGCATTGTATTATGTGAAATAGTCATCTAATTTCCCAGAGGAGAAAACCTATAGTAAAGTGGAAACCTTAGCTTGCCACTTATAAGTCCTAACCGTTCAAATCAAAATTGTATTATTTAGTTAATCCTTTAACAAGCTGAGAGGTCACCCACTATTAACAGCAACAACTATACTGAACAGGAAATGGGTTTGTTGTAGACATAGACCGCAGATCTGTGGTGTTAAGACTTATAACGGGTTTGAGCTAAGCTCAAGCGTAAATAACCCTCGTCCATCTCAAGGCCCCAAGACCATATCAGGTGTCCAAAATGCGAAAAATGAATAAACCTTATTTTCTCTTAAGACAATTTGTCTGAGGTAATGAACTCTGGCATACCCATATACATCATTATACCTTTTAGCTTATTCCTTTATGCACCATTTGAGAACAATGTAAATACAAAAAATGTTCTGTGCAAATACAAATATGTATGGTTTATGAAAACACAAAGTTGGTTTGGTTTTGAAAAAATAAACTCTGTACTTTTTGCCAAATGATTTTTAGTTGTGATGAATGTAGATAAATTCTAAGATTGCAATCTACCTTTTTACATTGACCAACTTTGAGTGCAATAATTTTCATTCATTTCTTTATTCAAAATTTTCTCTCAAATGCAAATATATACTAAAATTGGTGACCATTTTCAATACATAAATGTTCAAATGCATACAAAACTGAACTGCAACGCATAGATCCTAGATCTACAATACATTACTGACCACATTCACCCAACCGTACATCTGAAATATCGGTGATATAAAATAGAAGAGATATTCCCAATGTGCGATTAGATGAACGTCACCAATATTGTATTGTGATCAGTAGATCTGATCTCTAATCTTTTGCACTCTTAGAGAAGCAGGGAGAGCCCTAAGAACAATGAGAAAAAATTGACTTGATGTGGTAGATGGGATATTCCAATTTCTAGCCATTTTGTCAACTGTGGAAGGGTCCATCATCCATGATAATAGAGCTGGATCAGGATGTAAGTTGGATGGAAACAGATTATTTTTGTAATGGTTATATTTATGGTGGGCTCCAATATTGGCTGGTGTACGATGGACTTGTGGGCATCTACCCTGTCATGAACTTTTGACAGGTCACATGTCAGGCGTCTTATTGAGATGTCAAAGAATCTTTGTCATGTATTGAGTCAATTCAGCAGCTTCTTTTCAATAGTTTTATATAATTTTAACAAAAAAATTCGGCTCATGAACAATTTATTAAGAGTTTTGAAGAGTGTATGAAAGTTCATCGTGTTTATCATAATCATCATGTTGGATTCAAGTTTTTGGATAAACATTCAAAACAAATTGATAACAGCTGAATTGACTAACTAAATGGAATGACTAATTACTTATTCATAACGAGCGTTTAAGCTCCTTCATTTGAGATGACTATTGATAATTATATCTCTAAGGCTCTGTTCGTTTTTCGGTAAATTATTTATCCAGGTAAGTATAGTTATTTAGGTAAGTTTTTTCTAGGAAATATTTATATGGGTAAGTGCATTTATCCATATTCTTTTATTTCTCATGTGAATAAGGCAATGACCATTTTAGTCATAAAAATCCATTATTAAAATGAACATTTTTGTCCCATTCAAATGTTGGCAACTTTCCCCCTAGATGAGAAAGTTATTTATCCACCTAGGAGATGAGTATCATTTACACGGGTAAGTGATACCCAGGAAAATAAACTTTCCTTGATCCCTACATAAATCTGAAAAAATAACATGAGATTCTTGGTCAATGAGAATCAAAATCCCATTGACCAACTTTTCCCCCTCTCAAAGTCCAAAAAAAAAACGCATCTTAAATATTTCTTTTTTACTTGGTTTGGAGGAAAAGGTATGGAAAGGAAGGTTACTTTTTCTTTCAAACCAATAACCGCTTAAAGAGAAAACAAATAAGTCATCCATTTCAGTTAAAGAAAGTCCGGTCCTGTCAAGAAGATCTAAAACAATTTGGAAAGACAATCGACAAAGGATTATTCTTTGTACCCAAAGCTTGAATTGAAGTTACTTGGTGTTAATTACTCTCATGAATATACCTAGAACTGTTCCCTTGAGTTCTTTTTGGGTCTTTGATTATGTCTTATGAACCGATAAATCTTGATGATGAATAGAAATACTACGAATTTGCTAAATAAATGTTTAATTTTATTTCATTATTAATTGAAATGTGAATATTAATTAACTTAATGGTAGACCTTTTCTTAACTATTATGTTGTTAGAATGTTACGATCGAGTACCAAGTAATTAACTATCTCACTTATTTGACAGATAAGAACCATATACATGCCATGAAGTCTTTGGTAGGCATATTTTTGGTTTATTAATGAATGCGAAATGAAGAAATCTTTGACAGCCACTTTCAAACTAGCGGAGCTTTATATAAAAATAGTTTTTTAGGATTTATTTGGTTCACAGAATAGGAATTAGAATAATTTATTTGGTTTAAACAAGAATTGGAATCATCTAGAATAAAATTTCATCTCACGAGAGGGAGTAGAAATAACCATTCCCTCAAATGGAAGAATATTATTCCACCAGGAATTCCAATTCTATTCAATCAAACCGTTGGAATGGAAACAATCCATTCCGATTCTTTCAGACCCTATTCCCGCAAACCAAATGGACCCGTAATTAACTTTCATTGTTCATCCACATACTCTTCTGGGTAATTCTTTCAGTGTTCATCTACATAATTCTTCTATTAGTAATAAAAGATTATGAAATTCAGGTTTTGACTAATGTTTGCTTGTATCGCACTTCAAAGTTTTACTATTTGTCCCTCTTTGACCAAAAATACACACACAAAAAAACTCGGAGAGACTTCAAACTTTTATTTCTTTTGGTAAAATAACTTATTTAAAACCATGACTTTTAAAACCAATCCAGTGATCGAACTGGTTAGGGGTCCAGTTATTGAGTCGAACGGCCATCTCATTCTAACAAAAAAATAAAAAAAATAATTAAAACAAATTTTGAATGGTTCAAACGGTTAACTGCCCGGATTAACAGTTTACTGACTAAAATCAATGGTTTTTTGAGAAATCCCAATAAACTTTTTAATGACTAATTTGATAGTGGGGTTTTAACCATCGGCTTTGTTTTAAATGATCTAACAAGTGTTAGTTAAGTGGTACAAGCAAGAGGAGAGAGGATAGTTTTACAAATATTAGGCCAAGACAAGTATTAGTCCCTATTTTTTAGGGGAACATTCATTTAGCCATACCTCACAGATTTTTATTCCACTATAATTGAGAACAATAATACAGGGGAATTAATGCCAATACAAAGGAGTTATTGTGTGATAAGTGGGGGTGTTTGAGGTTTTAAATTATTGTAAATGTACAGTAAAATAAAAATTTGTTGGGTGGATTTCGGTAAAATTTCTCCCTTTTTTATAAATGAGGCTTTTTTTTATTAATTAAAAGCATTGAAATTGCAAAAATATCCTTTATCAAGTGTAGAAGATATGAAACTTATATGGGGTATAATTTGTCTTTCGTGATCTTGATTAGAAGGGAGAGGATGTTTAATTTTTGGGTTTATTATGTTACAATTTTTTCTTGATATCTCTTTGGCTATATGTAAATACAATCATTACAATTTGGGGTTCAATTTGCGTGGGCCCAACCCGAGCCCAGACCAATCCAAGCCCACAATTTAAATGGGCGGGGCCTGGTAGCATGAGTGCAACTTGACTACACACATTTGACCCATCAGTTGGAGTCCAATACGGCTCAATTTTAACCCAAAATCCAATCATATGGAAAAACCCATAAACTGGTACTGGTTAAAGAGTCTTTGACCTGAACATTTAAACCGCTGAATTATTCAGAATTCAGATTGTCCTCTAGTGGACAGTTCAAACCACCACCATAATATATGTTAATGTTAGGACCATTTACTAAAATACCTTTATAGTTTTATGGAATTATTAAAACCTATTTTATAGTTTGCATTTTACTAAAATACTTTTTATGACTTGCAATCAGTTTATTTAATTTACCATTCATTATATGGAAGTGAAAAATGAAAATTTTGATCTTAACATCCTTTCTAACAAATTTAATCTAAAACGTCATCCTTGTCCTTAGTAAAGCACAGGCGATAATTTTATTCGATAAAATTTGTTGTCTATTTGAAGAAGACATGTCATTGTTCTTTCTAAAAACTTTGATATGAAGTTTTAAGGGTACTTTCAGAATAAAAAAGAATGGGCTCATGCCCTCAAAATATTTCTCATTCTGTTTATATATGATCACATTACAATTTTTAGACAGATACACATTCTTAACAGAAGGTTGATTAAATAAATTGGTTGTGATTTGTGGAGGGTATTTTAGTAAAACCAAAACTATAGGTTTTAGTGAATTCATGAAAGTATTAGAGATATTTTAGTAAATAACAATATTTAATTTAACATATTCATTTGTATATAATTTAACCGAGTTTTTCAGCCCATTCATACTCAACGACTTGTTCAAAGTGAAGTTATAGTTGGTGCTTCCATCAAATCTTAATTAAACCAAGCAATTTAAAATCCCTCCTATTAATTCCTATTTTCTGTAAACCCCGGCCGGTCACCGGTGAAAACCAGAATTAGTCACCTGTCCGTCACCGGTTCAACCGCCTAGAACGGTTTGAAAACAGTGGTAAAACTCTGGTTTGTTACTAGATTTCTTTTGGGTAGCCATTTTAACTGCTTCTATGAGACTATGATTTCATTTTCACAGTAATAGCCGTCCTGCATTCTGCACGTCCTAGTAAATGAGCAAAACTAGAATCCCTTTTTTTTCAGATACAAACAATAAATAAGAAACCCTAATTTTCTCTTTGAAGAGTGAAGCCCTAGGAATCTCCAAAACCCTAAAAGTTTAATTATAAAAATTTAATTATTATAATATATAATACCAACAGAACCCTAACCGAGTTCACCCGTTCCCCCCCAGTGTGTTTGTTTTTACGCATCGTGTAATATCGCCTACTCTCTCTTCCTCTCTTGCTCCCATGGAATCTCCCAGACTTCTCTCTGCCTTCTTCTCTTAGCGTTCTCTCTCACCCCTCCTCTCAATTACTTCTCTTTTTGGTTCTTAGCGTTTTGTTTCACTTTCTTATTTCTCTTCTCTCTGTGTATTTCCTTGAGTACTTGTAAGAATAATTTTCTGGTGCAATGGAGATGGAGAGTTTTTGCTCTGAGGTTGTGGCTGTGCAGAGGATGGTCTGCTCTGTGATGGAAGCTTTGGTGGTGGAGACGGCTTTGGTTGCTGGGAAGTCTCTGGTTTGGCTTTTGTTGACGGTACGCGTTTCAGTCGGTGTTCATATCTCCTTTTGGTACATATTTTCTGTTTATATCTTTGCCTTTTTGTTTTCTCGTGAAGATTTATTGATGTGGGTTTGAACATTTAGGGTTTGTTTTAGCTCCCAGGGATCCGAAGAGAAAAGGTCACGTCTTTGTATTGCTTTCAGGAAGCTAGGGTTTTACCACTGTTACTAGGGTTTTTCTTCTGGGTCTAAGTTTCTTATGCTTAAACAAAATTGGATTTTGCTCTACAAACTTGTAGCACCCTCTCCGACTCTCTTCTTCTTTCTTTTCTTCTATTCGCTGGAGTGTTGAAATTTACCTTATTTTTTTTCAGTACTGAAGTTATTATTTTGCTTCTCTTTGTTCGAGCTATCAGTGTTTTAGCCGAGCATGGTCGTTGGGAATTTAGTTTTTGTTTATTTATATATATTTTTTGTTTCGGCTGGTTCTCTGAACAGGCTGTTATGGGAAGGTTCTTTATTTTTCTATTAGGGCTTTCATTTTATACCTCCCACTAAATATTTGAAGCTAGAGATTATTCTTGATGCTATCTTGTAACTGAATAGGGATTTTTTTCTTGGCTTTAGGGCATTATCTTTAGTGAGTATATTCTTCGTGCTCGGCTTTGTTTTGCATAGAGAGATGGTTTTGCGAGGAATCCTGTTCATGGGTTTGACTTCATTTTGTATGAACTTAATAGTCACAGCTGGAAGAATTCAACAAGAATGTCTGTTTTTGTTTATGTGCTGCCAATGGTTAGAGATTCCTTTTATTGCTAATTATTACTGCTTGAGGGGACCCCTTTGTGCTAATATCGTGGACTTTATACGGTTAAAAATTGTTTTGTTCTTCCTTTTTCTCAGATTTAAACGTAGTGCTCTATGATACTTTGTTTGTACTTTGAGGATATGTCCTAGTTTTATAATCCATTTTCCTTCAGTAATTTGGGTTGATGGAGAGAGGAATTGAAAAGCAGGATGAAGGTGAAAAATCACCAGAATCCATAAAAAAAGTGGAAATAAGCAGAAAGCAGAATAGCACCCAAAAAAAACCAAAAAAGGAGGCCTCAAAATCTATATGGAAAAATATCTGTTTTTTTTCAGATTCTATGTGGCAGCTTCATTTGAAATCTGGAAAGTAGATTTTGTTTTCTGCACTGGCTTTCTGTTTCTGCCCCAACCCGAATATAGTCTTGTCCCTTTTTAGTAATATTCACCTGATGAAGTTATCTCCTGTTACTGGTGAGAGAAAGCCATTAACATTGATGTATGGTTTCAAGAAGTTGAAACAGAGAAATGAGTTGTTGGTTTTAAGAAATTGAATTAGAGCACATTTTGTTTGCTTGGATGTGGCAGCTTTTAGTTTCCTTTCCTCATCATTCTGTCTGCATATTTAAAACTTATTGTGCATTCTGTCTGCTTATTTCGGTCCCTTCAATACCATTTATTCAGTTTATTCATGACCAGGTTAAATAGTGATGGAAAAGGAAGTGCAGGAAGACCAATTGGTGTCCTACATTGTTTATTGTCTGTCAATTCTTTTGCATGATTTAGCTGATTAAGAGGGGAAGAAAGTATTCATTGCATGGATTTGGGTTTCATTTAGGAGCTCTTTAACAATAGCTGAAGTGGCTGAACTGAATGACTTATTTCTTCATTTTTTAGTGAATAAACCATTACAGAGTTTGTGTGCTCCTAAATTGTTGCTGAATGGCTGTTGGATTACTATACCCCTAAGTTTTTTATTATATCACTATTTTATACACTAAAAAACAAAGCAATAAATCATTCACTTCAGCTACTTCAGTTATCAAAAATTATTTAATATGCATTTGATTGAATAAATGAATAGAGTTCACTTTTTGTTACTTGTTAATTAAATGTCATAGTTTTTTAACTCATATGAGCTAATTTTGGTTCAGGCTGGATCACTGTCGAATGAAATGGGCTGGCTCCCAAACATGCCTGGTACAGAGAAAAGGTAGGAGAATGTTATGCTTCTTGAGTTTGACTTTATTTTGTATCGTTCGTGTGAATAGATGATTAAGTTGTTATGGTTGCATTGTAGGTTTCCTTTGGTTGATCTTCATAGAGTGAAACAGTCGGACCCTGAAAATGAGGATGGCAGTGAAACAGAGGATGATGATGATGATGATGATGATGATGATGGTGATGATGATGCAGATGAACAGGATGATGATGGTGATGAGGATGTCTCTGGTGACGAGGGGAATGATGATGATGAGGGTGACCCTGAAGATGATGCTGCGGCAAATGGTGATGGAGGAAGCGAAGAAGAAGATGATGAAGAAGAAGAGGATGATGAAGATGATGAAGAGGATGATGGTGAAGATGAAGAAGATGATGAAGAGGATGAGGAGGACGAGGATCTTCCTCAGCCACCTTCTAAAAAGAGGAAGTGAGAGTAATGTTAGATTCTTTTGGTTTCCTTCTGTAGGGAATTTGGGGTCTAGGAGGGTAGGATTCGGTCGTCTGTTGGTAGAGTAGTGAAACTTGCCATCCTTGTTGTGAATGAACTCTTTTTGCTCTTTGTTACGCTACAGATTCACTGTCATATTATTACCTCCCATTTATGGAATGGAAGTGCATGTAGTTTTCTAAAGCCATTGCGTCTCTCTTTTCTCTCTTTTATATCATGGGAAAAGGAAAACCATGTACAGGGAAGATAGATACACTGTTGCTCAAGTGAAACTGAGGTCATTGAACCATGAAGTGGAAATTTGTTGTATTTGGGAAATGGGTAAGAAAACAGCTGAAGGCTTTTGAAGAAGATTTCGGATTAACATTTCCATTATATCCACCTGGAAAGAAAAATTGACTAGTTCTGATTTAGGGTCTGTTTGGTTTGTGATCGGAATTGGAATTGGAATTGGAATTGGAATTGGAATTGGAATCGGAATCGGAATGGGAATTCCTTGGAATCGGAATCTGAATGGTTTATTCTCCCTACCTGTTTGGTTCAAACAGGAATCAGAATATTGATGCAGTTTGGTTTATCAAGAGGCTAGAATCAGAATCAGTCATGATTTCCAATTTTGCTCTTAATGAAAATAAAAAAGCAGAAAATGCATGAAAATACTAAAAATGCAGAAATTTTGTAGAAAATTACAATAAATTTGCAGCAAATTCAGAAAAAAGTTTGAAAATACTCAAAATTCAGAAAAAAGCAGCAAAATTAGAAAAAATCAAAGTAATATGTAGTGAAAGTCGTATTTACCTGAGTTGGGATTTGGCCTGGACTTCGATGCAGCAAGGACAAGTTTCAGTTGATTTTTCGCCTTAGGTTGTTCGCTGCGAGCCACAATGAAAATCAGGAATGTGGAAGGGGTGATTCACAGGAGAAGGCAACCTCACTGGCACAATCAGGAATGTGGACGGGGGCGATTCACCGGAGAAGACAATCTCACTGGCGTGGACTCTACTTGAAATCTGGAAGAAAGATGGATTCTCTCGAGTGATTTTTGTTATAGATGGTTTTTCTTAACATGTGACAGAACAATAATAGGGGAGTCCTTGGAAAACTGACGAAACTGATGGTAGACGAGAGTAAACCCAGAAATGGCAAAAAATTTCTGAATATATGCAGGAAAACTGGATTCGTGCCACTACTAAATTGTCATCTCATCGGGGAAGACGACGAACAAGTATCCGTAACTGATGTGCTTTGCTCGCCGAAAGAGTGATAGGAATGATAAAAGAAATCAGGAAAAAATAGAGGAAATGGGAGAATGAGAAAGGAAAATGGGGAAGAGAGATCAGAAGAGAGGGATTTCGGTCCAATCTGCCGCTACAACGACCATTGCATTGGCAAGGACAGAACAGAGGGAGGGAATGTGAGAAGAAGAAGAGATCAACCTCCTCACCGGAGATGGGGTTGACGGAAATAACGACAATGGCATGGGATTCTTCCTTCTCACCGCAACTCAATCGCAAGTTGGATTGGAGGGGTTTTTTGTCCAAAAAGAAAAAAATAAAAACTAATAGCGGAATGGAAATCACATTCCGGGGAAGGGGGTAGGGAATGGCATTCTGATTCCTCATTCCCATTCTGGTTGACAAAACATCCAGAATGGCCATTCCCTCGAACCATTCCGATTCCGATTCCAGGGTCCTATTCCCTGAACCAAACAAACAGACCCTTAGACTCTCAACCCGTCGCTCTTTTTGCCGCTTCTAACGGCGCCTATCATCACTAATAACCGCATCAGCTGCTGTCAAAGTTGCAAGAGACGAGTGGACCTCCGATTCCCTGTCAAGTGTCAAAGCAGTAGCAGTCTTACCGGAAACCTAACCAACTGGCTATTCATCTTGAAGCCGGATTTGCTCATTTTTGCTATAGGCTAAAGGCTTGTGAATTTTGCAACACCTGAAACTGGCAGCGCCTGCAGTCATCCGTACAATACATGCATGGTATGTTATACGAGCAAGGGCTGGAGCATTGTTCGTTCAAATTAACGATACTCTGGACTGGACACGCAAAAATCATATTTTTTTAATGTTTTTTAATAAGTCACAAATATTTACATCAGGATGGAGACGGATAACCGATAATCTATTAAATAGCCCCGTCTCTCTGGCTCTCAGTAGTTGGTGCTTGGTGTGGTACAGTACGCACTGATTCGTTGGGCATTTTGAACCATGTGTTAGACCAGGTAAGATTTGGTTGTAAACATGACAGACGCAAGTAATAACGAGGTAACCAACTAACCATGAATGCTGCTCGAGTGCCGTGAACCTGGATGAATTTTCAGAGTTCGGATCTCCTGTCCACAATAACCCTACCGGCCTACCCACACCTCACTAACTGTACATTGAGAATATCTCCTGTATTTACATGTTATTCATGTGAAGATTCTCCCAATGTAGGGCTATAGTGTCATGTGGGTAGGAGATTTGAGTTCGAATTTATATAGTGAGAGTCAACTGCCAAGTGCCGGAACCCAAAAACTAGCATTGGGTTGGGTTGGGTTGAAATGTATAAACCCAACTTAACTATATGTGTATTCATGCATATAGCATGCTTATACAATTTCCTTTCCCTACACAGCATACATGTATATATCTATATATTTATGTATTAAAGGTAAGTTTTTCTAAAACATGATAAGTACATGAACTTGAACCCTTGGAGTCTAGAAAATAGGTACATTTGGAGAAAGGAGGTAGAAAAGTCAGGCCAACCTGAGACCAACCCAAAACCAGCCCCTATTCTAACCAAATCCAAAAGGGTTAGGGTTGGTAGAGACTCTGCTCTGCAGCCTGTAAATGAAAATCTTGCAGCCACGCAGGATGATGGATTAAGGTCATAGCATAACTTCTACAAGCCCTAAAGAGTTCATGTACAGAATGGCTGAAGGGGGAGCACTTTCTTCGATTAGGGTAACTGGATAAGATGAACCTGATTCTTGGCTCAGACAAACTTAGACTGGAAAACTTGAATGAGGGATCTTCGATCCACATGACATTTATTTCAATTCTTCTTTTGAGGGGTAAACAAACATCCAGAGATAGCTGCTTTCCATGGATGCAAGAACCAATAATATAAAGACTGACATTCTATGCTCTTATTCTGAGGGGATTCATTTTCCCTATTGCTTCTTACAGGAAATATTTGCTCACTTTCACAATCCAATGTGGTATGGTCCAGGAAAGAGGATGCAACTGCATCTTTAGAATGCCCATTCCTAACTGGTTTATGTCAAAAATGGATTGTTCAGATATTTATGATTTGGGATATATTGCCTTAATTCTACCCCAACTAAAGACCTCCAAGGTAGAGTTTGTCTTCAAGAATTTTAGGAGACACCTTACAGACAACATTAAAAAGGTTCAGGGGTTTGTAAAAGAACTACTCTAACATGACAAATGTAAAGTCCAACACCAGAATCCCATGTAATGACTTGTCGCTCACTTCCCTTCATTGCTATTGGCAGATCAGCTGAGCAACAAGGATAATCACTAAATGGCAGAAGTCGATAGTTTGATTAACAGATATATGGGCTATGGCCAGAAGGGGCACTTGCTTGGTGTAATGGTAAAATTTCAGGCTGATAAGCATGAGAACACAAGTTTGAATCTCAGAATAGTCATTTTATGCAAAATAAAATAAATAAATTAAAGCCAATGGTTAGGTCTGTATCCTGATTCCTGTCCACCCCAGATAGTGAGGACATTTAAATGCAAATGCATCCCCCTTCAAGGGACAAGGGGTGATCATGGGCTAGACTGGGATGGGCCTACAACTATATATATTATATGCATCATAATATTTATATATCTATACTATATAAAGTGTATACTTGCCATGATTTTGGTGCATAACGCGTGCCCTTACACTAGTAATATGTAATATACAAATAAACACGTACATATATACATATATATATATATATAATATATATATGCATATTTCAGGCCAAGTCTAGACAGAAAACCTAGAACCAAGTCTGGAAATTTGTTGGCTGGGCTGGGCTAGAAATAACCACTCTCACCTTCTTCCTAAATGTTCTAGAAAGACTATAATTATGACAATTCACCTCATGTAATATGTTTTGAATAAAATGAGCAGCATTTGTGAATCATGAGCATGCTGACTGATTATCAATACTCAAGTTATCAGGAGAAAGATATTATTCATCAAAATTTATAAGTTTGCTTATCAGAATGCGCTGTCCAACTCAACAACAAATAATGGTTTCCTTGATCCTGAAGATAATTGAAGTGAAGTGAACAAAGTACTGTGGAGTATGAAAAATGATGATCTTCACAGGTAACTAAGGAATTGTATAGAGAACACAATTGCATCAGAACAAACATGTATATGTTGAATTATTGTCTCCTAGTCCTAGATGAGAAGCAGATCAATTGTTGACAGAAACAGTTCACCATGTAATCTCCATCGCTGATTGACCTTATCAGTTCCAAATCAATGGGTATCTGCAACCATCCAGCAGGTGGATACTTGTCCTACAACAAAAAAAGAACCATGTTTCTCAAGAATTCATATTTCAGAAGTGCCCAAAAGAACCATGCTTGAGCTTCAAATATGAGGTAAATTCATGTCAGCTGCCATTTGAAGGGGTAAAAAATGCAGTTAAATAAAAGAGAAATCTAATCTCAAAGCATTTGAACAGAGACTTAGTCATGGAAGTATAGAATGCAAAAAATCTCAACCCCTGTTCTTCTATGAATGACTGGCAGAAATTGAGATAGTGAAAAGATTTTCCCGTGCAACCTTTTTTGCAAAATCCACTAACAAAAAATTGCAAGCACCAAACCCTAGCATAATTGGAACTCCTTGCATTATCTGCAAGTAAAGAAATAAACTTTGCATCCAATTGGCACCAGGTATGAGACCTCTATAAGCCGGAGTCGACCAAAAGAGGAAGAAAAGGACTTTAGAACTTCTACTCTTAGACAGGGTGTCATAAGAAGGGAGACACTTAGTATACCAAGCTTCCTGTAACTTTTTTCTTAATCCTAATATGTTATTATATTACATATGCAATCTAATGTCTTTTCATCTCTTTAGATGTGCTGGACACCCAAAAATTGGCCATATGTAGCTTGATTTACATATTTTATCAGAAACTACCCAAATCAAAAGAAGGTGCTTTGTGAATACAGTTGGAAAACATAGGATTGCAAGTCTACATCCTGTTCTAAATAACTGCTACAGGGTAAAAAGAGTCCTTAAAATAGTACTGACTGTAGGGTTGGGCCAGTCAGCTATCACCCATTACCATAAGATATGAATCCGATACCTCAAACAAACAAATTCTAGTAAGACATGGGTGCTAGTATACATTATATTAGCTGCCACTGAGATCTCAATATGTCATTAACATATTTCTTGAGTGGGTACCGAGTCAGTTACCTTGATTCTTGAGAATGAAGTTCATATAGTTATTTGGTATCTAAGATGTTTTCCTCTTGTAAGTTTGATGGACTTCACTCCTAACTGGAAAATATGTGATATTACTGCGACTCCAGCAGTTAGTGGAAATATTGGAACCTCTAAGGCTCTAGCTGAAATGTACCATTTAGTTTAACAACAACAAGGCTCTAATCTTTTAACAGACATATGGAATCAAGAAAAGAACATTCATCGAAGAACATCACAAACTTCACTTAACAAATAAAATTCACGAACAACGTTCTTACACGTTTATTTAACACCAAGCAAGAATCAAAAAAGAAACCACTAGAGGATCATTTAAGGGATCGTCTTTCACTCACTATGGCAGTTTTCCAGATAGAAAGATGGCAAATTTCGAAACCTCAGAGTAAGAATAATTAATCCCATTCTCCGTCAAGAGTGCTTCAAGCAGCTTCCTGACTCCCTCCGGATCAGCGCTCTCACACTCAATCTCATAACACGTCCCAAAATCATACTGCGTCTCGTCTAACTCCAGCTTCAACCCTTTCCAACCATAAACCGCCCGAACATTCCTGAACCCACCCATACAAATAAAGCCCTTATCGCCGATTCTAAATTTTTCTTTAACCCTCTTCAAGATCCTCGACGAGTTTACAGAAGCAATCCGCCAAGGCTCGGCAACACAAGCGCGACCGAGCGAGGGGTCAATCTCTTCTTCATCCTCTTCGACGCGGCTGATGCCGTCGACAATAACGGCTTTAGCTTTAAGAGAAACGACGCAACGGCTGTCGCTGTTGTAGAAGCGGAGGCGAAGGACGGCACGCTTGGACGAGAGTTCGGCAGCTGTGCCGTCGAAGAAAACGTTTTCTTGGAAGTGGGTTTGGAGGTGGAACGGAGATAAGACGTCGGAGAGCTTCTGGTGAGCAGTGGAGTCTGGGAGGCGGAGCTTGACCTCTACTTCCATGTCTTCTTTGTAAATTTTCTAATTTGTTTGAAGATTTGGTTTGAGATGTTGTCAGGAAGAGAGGCCGATGCGTTGGGATTTGGTGGAGGGGTCTTTGTTCCGGTTTAAATGGTGGAGGATAGAAGCCGCGCCGGTGGGCGGAGCGGGGCCGGCGGTGGCACGCTTGCGGGCTTCTTCTAGTTCTTCCTTGTCTTCGACCTTGACTTCTATCTTGCTCGGTTTTCTTCTCAGCATCTCTTTTCCTTTTTTTTGCCTTTCCGCTCTAGCTTTGTGTGGTGGTCGTAAGGAGTGATGAGACGAGGATGATGGCCGGCGAATTTGATTCGAATTTGATTCCTTAGCTTTGGAATGGAAAGAGGATGACTGGCCGGACCCGGCTAGACCGAACTGGTCCTTTAGGAGCTGTTCGGATCACGGGCCTACATAAGCTACAAGTTGTCCACTTTTTGTCTTTTTGATTTCTTTCCCTCCTCTCTCTCTCTATCTGTGAAACCGGCGGTGGGGAAAGTCGGAGCACCACCAATTCCGCACACGCCGTCTGGTTATCCATCTTGCGAAACAGCTGTGATTTCCGGATCTGGTGAAGTTGTATCCGTTCTTCTCTACAGCTATAGCATCTTGTGGTACAGATCTCAGCACTGCTGATGAACCAACTTTCGTACTTGGAATGAACAACTATAAGAGCAATACTAAAAATAATGAGAATGGAATGACTCAATCAATCATGATTGGTTCTTGAATCATTTAAATAGAGAAGTTACAAGAGGATAATTATGTATAGAAGATAATAATTACATAGTTAGAATTTATTTAGGAAATTACATGATAATGAGATAACATGATCAGTTATCTAGAATAGTTATCTTAGATGACCATGATCAGTTATCTAGGATAGCTATTAGAGATACCCATTCCAGTTACAAGTCTATCATAACTATTGAGATACTCTAACATCCCCCCACAGGCTTAGCGGTCTCTTGGAGATGGTAAGTTTGGCTGTAAGGTCATGAAACCATGTTGAAGGCAGCAATTTAGTAAGAATGTCGGCAATCTGATCATGGCTAAGAATGTGATTGATCAGTAAAGGACCGGCCACAACTTTTTCCCGTATAAAGTGAACATCCAATTCTATGTGCTTGGTGCGAGAATGGTGGATAGGATTGGAGGACAGAAATTTGGCACTCAAATTGTCGCACCAGATGATAGGTGGGCGAGGGAGCTTCAATCCAAGCTCCGTGAGTAACATCTAGAGCCAAAGAATTTCAGCGGCAATAGAGGCAAGACTACGGTATTCTGATTCTGTGCTGGAGCGAGAAACCATGGATTGTTTACGAGAGCTCCATGAAATCAGATTACGACTTAAGTAAACACAGAAACCCCCTTAGGAGCGACGATCAACAAGGCAACTAGCCCAGTCAGCATCAGAAAATGCTTCGAGAGCCAATTCTGGAGAAGTACGAAAAGTAATGACATGATTAATTGTGGACTTGAGATAACGGAGGATCCGCTTGATTGCACTCCAATGAACATCAGTGGGTTATTTCATAAACTGGCAAACTTTGTTAACTGAGAAGCTGATGTCAGCCGAGTAAGGGTAACATATTGTAGTGCCCCCACCACACTACGATATTCGGTGGCATCAGGAAGAGGAGAACCATTGCTCACATCAAGTCTGGTAGATGCTGCCATCGGTGTATGAACGAGTTTAGCCTCATGCATCTTGGTCCTGATGAAGGTCATGAATATATTTAGTTGGGATAGGTGCACCCCATCTAAACTGCGATGCAGTTCCAAACCCATAAAGTAATGAGCTTCCCCAAGATCTCGAAGAGCAAAAATGGTAGAGAGCTGAGAGATGAGGTGAGTAAGTGCATAAGTAGAAGAGCCAATGATCAATAAGTCATCCACATATACAAGAAGAAAAGTGACATCAGTGCCAGTCCGCCACATGAATAAAGAACTATCTGCTCAGGATTCCAGAAAATCAAGGTAAACCAAATGATCCCTTAATCGAGTAAACCAGGCCCACGGGGCTTGTTTCAAACCATAAAGGAAATGTTTAAGACGACATACAAAATGTGACCGTGCTGGATAAACAAAACCCATGGGTTGTTTCATAAATACCTCTTCACTGAGATAGCCATGAAGGAAGGCATTGCTCACATCAAGTTGTCTAAGATTCTAGCCATAGTGAACCGCGAGAGATATGATTAACCGAATAACAGTTGGTTTAACCACCGGACGAAAAGTCTCAGCAAAGTCAATACCGGCTTGTTAAGTAAACCCTTGCGCCACCAAATGCACCTTGTATCTTTCAATGGACCCATTCGGATGTCTCTTAATCTTATAAACCCATCTATTTCCCACAATGTTCTTATGAGGAGGTGGATGTACAAGATCCCAGGTATCATTGCGCAACAACGCTTTGTACTCATCTTCCATGGCGAATACCCAACGGGGATCTTTCTTGGCAATAGTGTAGCAAGAGGGTTCAACATCAGGGTCAACAAAGGCTTCCAAAGCATACCGAGGGTTGGGCTTGCGAATGCCACTCTTACTCCATGTCATCATGGGGTGAGCATTAGGTGGAGTCACAGTGGAGCAAGAGGGTGTATCTGATAGGGTTGATGATGATGGTAGTAATTCGGTAGAACTAACACCAGTAGATATAATAGGTGGGCTAGGGGAGGTGGTGTCAGTGGATACGAGAATGGTCTGATGAGAGGGGCACGGGTATGTAACGATAGGAGGGCCAACCACAGTGTCGGTAGCTGATTTGGGAGGTGGAGTTGGGCTTCCAGAAGTGCATGGGAAGGTATGTTCATCAAAAACCACATTACGTGAAATATATAGACGTCCAGATATTAAGTCCAATCATTTGTACCCTTTGTGATGTAAACTGTAACCCAAGAATAAACAATGCTTGGATCGATAGTCCAGCTTAAAATGGTTATAGGGTCTGAGATGCAGATAACAAGCACATCCGAAAGTGCGCAACATAGTGTAATCAGGTTTAGTGCCAAAGAGACACTCTAAGGGAGAATTCATGTCCAGTATTGGAGAAGAGAGCCAGTTAATTAAAAAAACTGCAGTCTCAAAGGCATCATATCAGTAATGTTTGGGCATTGAAACCGTAGCCAAGAGGGTGAGACCCATTTCAACAATATGGTGATGGTGTCGTTCTACAACACCATTTTGTTCATGGATATGAGGACATGAGAGACGATGATGATGCCTGAATTAGAGAGAATAGGGAGAAGTGGTTTGTATTCTGTACCTCCATTTGTTTGCAGAGTTTTGATAGAGGTGTTCAATAAATTCTCCGCATTCATCTTAAAAACAGCAAAAATAGAGACAACCTAAGTTTTAGAGGTCAGAAAAAATCTATATATACTTGTTGTAAGCATCAACAAAAATCAAATAATAGTGAAAACCATGTCTTGTAGAGACAGGGGCTGGTCCCCAAACATCAGAAAATAAAAGTTCTAATGGATACTTTGCAACAAAAGTACTACTAGAAAATGGCAAGATATGACTCTTGCCTAGTGGGCAGGACGGACAAAAAGAGATGTCCTTATTTGAAACTGGAAGCTGAAATGAAGATAAGATGTGGGCAGCTACTCTCTTGCTGGGATGTCCTAGCTGCTGATGCCATACTGAAAACAATGCTTTCTCACCAATGAACGCCGATGGAGTTGTAGATGTGCAATTTGTCTTTAGCTAATAGAGCCCTCCCTTAATTGGCCATTGGTTGCTCCAGAATCAGGATACCAATTTTCATCACGAGCAGATCGTGAAGATGAGGCTGTATGAGCTTGTTTGGTAGGCTTATTTGCAGTGAGTTCCAGATAACGGTGGCAAATAGCTGCTGTATGGCCAAGATACCTACAGGTTTGACAAACCACAGTGGCGTTCTTGGAATTGGATCTGCTGCGATTATTGTTATTATCGAAAGTTTTCATGGAGTGGTCAGAACCACCATCATTATTAAATTGTCGAAGCTTATAAGAAGAAGACTGATTGCGATTAAAGGTTTTCTTCTTATTGGCCAAATTAGCATAAGAAGAATCCAATACAGATTGTGAAGAGTGACACTCTAAGCGCTTTTCAAAGGTAAGTAACAGACTTTGAATTTTAGCAAAAGAAAGACTATCTAGTCTAGTAGTCACAGAGAGCACAAAGGTATCATATTCAGTAGGTAAACCACCAAGCAAATAATGAATTTGATCAACATCAGTGAGAAAGTGTCCAGAAGAAGCTAAAGCATCAGATAAATTTTTAATTTTCTGAACATAATCAGTGACAGTGAGAGTACCCTTTTTCAGATAGGCTAATTCTAATTTCAAATCATGGATTCTAGTTTTACTGGTAGAAGAAAAAAGAACATGAAGTCGATCCCATACCTCTATGGATGTCTCACAGCCAACTACTTGAGCCAGAACTGGTTCTGTTAATGAAGATAATAACCAGCTTATAATCAATTGGCCTTGTTCGATCCATGCTACATGATCTGGGTTGCTACGGCTGGATCTTTGGCTATGTGGCCTTGTTCGTCCACATAGCCATATAAACGATGCCCTCTGAGAGCTGGTGTAGTTTGAGAATTCCAGAGCAGGAAGTTAGTACGATCCAATTTTACTGAGACTACATTCATAAAACTGGAAAGCGAGACCACTATAATGGTTCGGCCATCTGTCGATCCAGGCTGCATTTGTCTCTGGATGGCATGGGCAGTGGTGCTTATTTTTGAAACCATGATGTTTGTCAAAATGGCTTTGATACCATATAAGAGCAATACTAAAAACAATGAGAATGGAATGACTCGGTCAATCATGACCGGTCTTCTTGAATCATTTAAATAGAGAAGTTACAAAAGAATAACTATGTATAGAAGATAACAATTACAGAGTTAGAGTTTATCTAGGAAATTACATGATAATGAGATAAGGTGATCGATTATCTAGGATAGCTATCAGAGAGGTGACCAGTTACAAGTCTATCATAACTATTGAGATACTCTAACAACAACAACTAGGCCTTCTCTCTTTGCCGCTCCCATGCTCACAAAATCTCTATCCTAGTCTGGTTGGAGTACGAGAGCGAGAGTTCGCGATGGCTCCAACTCATGGATCTTGGTCTCATCTCATAAAAAAGCACCTCTCTCAAGGAGCCCCRGAAGAAGCTCTTCTTCTTTACATCCAAATTCGCTGCAAAGGAATCCACCATTATGGTGTTATTCCTCTACTACTCAAGGCTTGTGGGTCTCTGTCCATGCTTCACCACGGGAAAGCTTTGCATGCTGAGTCGATCAAAATTGGGGTGGATTCAGATGTGGGGATAGGGACTTCATTGGTTAGCATGTATTCTAAATGCCGCGATATAGTTTGTTCCCGCAGGGTATTTGACGAAATGCCCGATAGGAATGTGGTAACATGGAATGCAATGATAGGAGGGTATTCAAGGAATGGTGACATGGGTTCTGCATCATTTATTTTTGAACGGATGCCAGAGAAGACGGAAGTTACATGGGCAGAGATGATTGATGGATTTGCAAGGAATGGGGATATTGTTGCTGCTAGGCGTTTATTCGACTGCTCTCCACATGAGATGAGGAATCTAGTGACATGGACTGTGATGATCGATGGATATGTGAGGATTGGGCAGTTGAAGACGGCAAGGCAGCTATTTGAGGAGATGCCACAGCGGAACTGCTATTCTTGGTCGTCAATAATTGCTGGCTACTGCAAGAAGGGTAACGTCAAGGAGGCGAGAGAGATCTTTGATCGCATTCCAGTCAAGAATTTGGTGAACTGGAATTCATTGATTGCTGGATATGCACAGAATGGATATTGCGAAGAAGCTCTGGAGGCTCTCGCTAAGATGCAGGCCGAGGGATTTAAGCCTGATGAAGTTACAGTAGCAAGTGCATTATCAGCTTGTGCACAAATGGGTTCTTTGGATTATGGAAAAGAAATCCAAAATCTTATAAATTGTAGCAATATAAAACCTAACCAGTTTGTCTTTAATGCATTGGTTGACATGTACGCAAAATGCGGGGACTTGCATAATGCAAGAATGATTTTTGAAAGGATGCCCCAGAGGAATGTTGTTTGTTGGAATGCAATGATCTCAGGCCTTGCCATTCATGGTCGGAGTGAAGAGGCTCTTGATCTTTTTGGCCGAATGGAGGAGTCAAGCCAGAAGCCCAATGAGGTCACATTTCTCTCCGTTCTTTTTGCTTGTGCACATGGAGGATTCGTGAAGAAAGGCTTAGAAATCTTCTCCAAAATGAAAGAGGAATATGGTTTAGTTCCAGGGATTGAGCATTACGGTTGCTTGGTTGACCTTTTGGGACGGGCAGGAAGACTGAATGAGGCATATGGTTTGATCAAGAGTATGCCCATGAAACCAAATGATGTGATCTGGGGGGCTCTGCTTGGAGCTTGTAGGATTCATTTGGATGCAGAGATGGTGGAGTGCGTGGAGAAAGATATTGAGATTTCTGAGTTTGTTAAGGATACTGGTGATGATGCACGCTATGTGCTGTTATCAAATATATATGCTGCTTCAGAGCGATGGGAGAAGGCCGAAAAGATTAGGATGGCCATGGTGGAGAAGGGGGTTCGAAAGATGCCTGGGTACAGTTCTATTATGCTTGGATCATCCAGTTCGAAAGATGCTTGGATGTACTGAGCACCAATTTCATGCTGGTGTTCAAGCAGATTCTCAGATTCGTCACTTGTATAAAGCACATATATTGAACGTCTCAGTTCTTAGAAATGCGCAATACGGATACAGGGTATTGAAGATTATGGCCATAACTAAGAGTGGCGCCTTCTCCATCATATCTCACAATGCTGGTTCAATTATTTTTAGTCGGCTCTTCATTGTGACTTGTGAGCTTCTCCTGGAAGGCTGGCTGACCCAGTAAGCACTAATTTTTCAGCACTTGTAAATTCATTCTATATGTGTATCAAATTCTGTAAAGTTTTCGGTATGTAAAATACAAGTATTTCATACACAAGGATAAACAATTATACAATCGGCAGTCACAAGGATTAAAATATCACCATACGTCGTATTAGTATCAATTACGATTGTGCTTGAAAGTGTATCCTGTGAGTTGTACTATTAGTCCCATATGAATACACCAATATGGAGGCGTATTGGACACAAATTTAAGTAATACAAGTGTGATTTTAATAAGAATAACCACCTGAGCCACATTTTATGATTATAACTGAAATAATTAATTCATATTTCAACATCTACGATTCATATATAATTTAAACAAAAAAAAATCATATTTATAACCAACAACTTCAACTACAAAATAAAATAATAACATTCAAAATTAGTAATTTATAAACTAATTTATTAAATACACGTTTATATCAAAATATGATTTTTAATGTCAAGAAATTTATATATGTATATAAATATTAATAATAGAATAAATATTAAAACTTAAATTTCATAAATTTGCATATGATATGTATCTTAAAATTTTTATAAATAAATAATTAATATTTTTTATTTTAATTAAATAAAAATATATTTATTATTTACAAAAATAAAAACATGAATCCATCAAATCCACTATTCTACATTTGTTTCAGAAATTGATTTTTTTTTTCTTTTAGAAAATTTATACAAATGAAAATGTTAATAATGTGAATTATTTTAGTAATTAAAAATTATGAATTTGCATACAATATGTATCTTAATATATTTGATATATTTTAAGTTAAGAATATATATTTGTATAGATTATTAATTGATAATTTAATTTATATTTTATAATTACATATTTATTTTTTATAAAAATAAAAATACTATTTACCAAACATTTGAGAATTTAACTTTTAGTTGACTTTTTTGTTAATTTAATATTAAAAATAGTAAAATAAAAAATGATTGATATAACCATTCAAATATAATAATTATGTGTGTTTTGCCTTGGTTTTTAATAGGAAATAAAATACTAATGGTTTTATGCATGTTTTAATTTTCAAAAATCTTAATAATGTGTTTTGGACTCTTCATTGATGCATTATCAATAAAATTGTATGATATCCATGCATCCTGCTATATTAATTTTAGGGAAAATTCCAGATCAATACCATATATTTTGGCTCGAGTGACAATTTGGTCCCCAAACTTTAAATGTGACAATCTAGCCCCAAATTTACAAAACGTGACAATCTAGTACTTGAACTTTCAAAATATGACAATCTAGTACCTTCCGTTAACCAATCCGTTAATCAACCGTTAAGTGACATTTGAAAAGTAAAAAATGCCCTTCAAATGCCATCTAATTCTCTTTATCAGCCATCTAAACATTGACAAAAAACTGAAAAGTCCCAAATCCAAGCCTCTTCTATTCAAAAAAGTTGGTGACTGTTTAGAAGAATCTAGAATTTGGGATTGTTCATATTATTGTCAATGTTTCGATGGTTGATAAAGAGAACTAGATGGCATTCTTAGGGAATTTTTTACTTTTCAAATGTCACTTAACGGCTGATTAAAAGACTGGTTAATGACAAGTACTAGATTGTCACATTTTGAAAGTTCAGGTACTAGATTGTCACATTTTGAAAGTTCGGGTTTTGGATTGTCACATTTTAAAGTTCGAGGCCCAAATTGTCACTCGAGCCAAAGTACAAGGTACTGATAAAGAATTTTCCCTTAATTTTAATGTATTACTTCATATATATTATTAGAATGAATACAAAAAAAAACATACTATTAAAATATATATTTTCTATGTACTTATACATTATTTGTGGAAAATTAACATTAAATTTAGTATTATTAATATATTTATGAAATTTGTAGCATTTCGCTGGTGTATTCAAGCATCTTTACATTTTTTGTCCATATCCATGCATTTTCCAAGCATATTTGTATTTGTATCCACATCCAAGTTGTTCAATACAATACTCAATACTGATACTTTAATCCTTGGTCACTTTTGGTCGAAATGCATTAATCACTTTTTTTAGATCAGCCAATGTTTTTCAATTGTAGGGCTTTCACTTAGCAACTTCTAGCGTTGCAAAGTGGGCCCCGTACAAAAATCCCAGATGCTTTATTTGGTGAAAAATCCAAAAATCCAAATTATACTTTCGTTATGATAGTAAATCAAGTGCTCGTTTGGCTTTGCAAGGTGGGCCTAACATGGAAAGTTTAGAAGGTATGTTTAGTAAAAAACCTTATAAAGCTAGAATACACTTTAGAGCTTATTTGGAAGCAAGGTTTCAAATTTCGATATGATATGCCCCGTATTGGGCGTATATCGTATCTTTAAAAGTTTAATATGAGATACAATGGAAAACCGATGGTATCATCTTTTTTCCACCATATCAAGGTGTAATAGGGTGTATTGACTGATATGCTACGAAATAAATACGACCAAAACTGGAAAAAAAAAATAAAGGGGGAAAGGAAGCTTCTTTGCCCTAAAATAAGTCTTCTTTCACCCCCAAATGACTTTAAAACTCCAACCCTCATTCCTAGATTGCTAGATATGCACAAATTTGCAAGAAACAAGCGTAAACCATTCTATTTTTCAAGATTTTTCAAATTTTGAAAAAATATGGCAAAAATAGGTAATTTTTTTTTCAATTTTTTATAATATCTTAAGATTTTCTTATTTCTTGAATGTTTAAATGTATGTTGATCTACATTTCTTACATTCAAAATCACTTTTTTTTTGTGTGTTATGAGTAGATCTATGGAAATTTCATGAAGATATTTAGGAAAAATGTAAATTAACAAAAATTTTGAAAATGTAATTTTTTCTCTGCCTATAAAGACTTAATATGTTTTAGATCTATGGATTTATCTATCATATCCATAGAGAAATTGAAATTTCTTCTTTAATATATATTTTTTATTTTTTTATTTTTAGAATTACGAAATAAATAATAATTAATTATATTTTATCACTTGATCACAATGATTGAATATACTATAATTCTATGGATGATCTATCATGTCCATAGAGCAATTGAAATTTTTTCTTTAACAATTATTTTTTTATTTTTTTTATTTTTAGAACAAAAAATATATAATAATTATTTAAATTTTAACATTTGATGACAATGATTGAATATATTATAATTCTATGGATGATCTATCTTATCCACAAAACAATTGAAATTTTTTCTTTAATAACTATTTTTTAAATATATTGTATAATGTTTATTTGTTTTTACTTTTTATAATTTTTGAAAATAAAAATAAATATAATTATTTAAATAAATATAATTATTAATTATATTTTCAATTAGAAGTTGTGCTAATGCATGCTTTGTGGTTAGATAGGAGAGTTGGTTTTTTCCCATCACATAAAACTTAATAATTTTAATTTATAAATTAATTAAGCATATGTTTTTAATGAATTATAATTAACTACAATGTACTTCTTCACAAAATCATTAAAATATACTAATTTAATGTCTATAGCCTCATTGAGGTCTTATATTTAGTATGATTGATGTATTTTTGTTTTATTGAAGTATTTATAGTGTTTCCATGTCTATCTATGCATATTTTAATTTTTCTCTGATACACATGCATATCCAAGGCGTATCTTGATATGTCTATTAAAATTGCATTTCCAATACACTTATCATTTCTAATACTTTAAACCTTGTTTGAAAGGGCTTCTACGCTTTGAGTGCATTGTATTAATTGAGCTGGTATGGTTTAGCATCAGTGTTCTGAATAAATTATTTAGCGTATCTTCATATTTGAGTAGTGCTTGAGCGTTCAAAAAATCCATATTACTTTTTCGAAGTTTTACCGAATACAACTTTTAGCATTCTCCCATGGGGTCCAACTTAGAATATTAGAAGCCACATCCCAAAAGTCATCTCAAATGGGAACTTAATTGAGCTATAAAGTTGACTTTCTTATGAAGCTTGTTTCAGTAGTTGCTTCAACATGGCTCATTCAGTAGACTCAATACTATGGTTGTAAATGGGTTGGTAACTAATTGACTAAACCAAACTGAATAAACTATGTAGGTTCTACTTATATGATTTTGTCCCCATTAATAAGTGGGCCTATTATGGTAACTAGACCTGTTCATGGGTTGGGTCGGGCTTTGCCTCTTTATCAACAAAAAATTTGTTGGCCCGAGCCCGTCCCCAGCCCAACCTTCAGGCCTAGATTTTGAGTCCGAGCCCGAGCCCGAAGCTTGACCTATATACAAAATGTTTTATTTTAAGTGTACTTTTATAAGCTAATATTATATTAATTTAATAAACTAATTTGTATTCCCTAATTATAAATTAATATTTATTAATAATTTAAGAAACAAATATATATTATACATTTATTATATATAACAAAAATGCTTATTATTATATGTAATAATATTGGGCCGAGCTTATTTGAGAAAGCTCGAGCCCGAGCTTGTGGGCCTAGAATTTTGTCTAAGCCTGAAAATTAAAGGGTCGGGTCGGACCATCGGGATTCCCAACCCATGAACAAGTCTATCTGGAGCATAAATTAGATAGATAATATATAAATAATTTACTATTTTATTGTTATTCTTATGATGCCAGTACAAATGTGTATAATCATGTTAGACCTGATTATCCCAATTAATAATTGCGATGTTTTTTCTGTGCCTATGGTTTTGTCTTGATTAATAATGGATTTAAGGCTGGCATAAGTTGTCCTAAACCCGACACAAAATGTTGACAACCCTAGTCAATGTAGCTTAATCAGGTTAAACCCTCCCAATGGGTCCCTATGTTTTCTTTCTTTCTTTTTCTTTCCTTTTTCTTTTATTCTTTTGCTTCATGGGGGCTACACAACAAGGGTTGGGGTAGGCCATAACCCATTCCCCATCCCCTTAAAACCTAACCCTATTGGCAAAAATATTTGACCCCAAGTCTGCTACAACGAGTCAGAGATCCTGTCAACTGAGCCACCATCAGTTGGTGGGTTATTTTCTTTGTGAAGCTAGTTTTAGTTATAGTTTTCTTTTTCCAATCTATTTGCTAGAAGGTAAGGCTTGAGCTTAAGGTTTGAAATTTTGTTGCTTTGCAGCTATGGGTTATGGGTTCTATTAAATTCACTCACAACTTTTAACTTTTTCATATGCCAGAGTGCCACATACATTTCTGAGATGTATTCAATGTGAGGGCACATAAATTGCTTGTAATTGGTTATCTTCACATTCTGTAGATTCTCTTAATACCTTCTCACTAGGATTTTATTTTCTCTGTAGTGTTTCTTATCCTTTTAACAAGACATGTTACTTTTCCCTATGGCTATGGGATACACACAACAAAGTAAATGAAAGGATAAATAAAGAAGAGGACCCAAGATGCTATGGCCACCAAAGCAGTTATGCCCATCTTGTTACTGCTCCCTATACAAGAGAAGTGAGGGCACTAGTCAAGTTCAATGAGATTTGATGAGGTGATCAAGTTCTTCTTTACTATCTTATATTCCTCTTTATAGCATGTGCTCTTCAACAAAATTATAGTCATCAATCCTATTTTAGTTGTATCTTACTAAACCTAGTACATTTTATATGAATTGTCCATTTATGTATGCCATTTCCTCGTGATGTTTGCTCTAATGATGTAATTGGTGATTAAGGTGCTTGTTTTTTGAGAAGGAAAAAACAAAGACTATGGAAAAAGTGTGTGAAATAGTACAAAAACAGTTGGCATTACCAATTGACTCATCAATCACTGGCAAATCAACATCTTCTAATCTTAGAGCTGATTCTCTTGACATGATAGCCAACAATTTTGCATGAGCTTTCCATGGTTTATTTCCTTAATTTTTCTTTCCCCATTATTCTACTATAGAGCTATTGATGTTTACCATTGTGGCTATCCATTTAGTTTCCCTATCTACCCACTGTCAATTTTACAATCACTAGTTTGAAACTTTGGATCATTGAGTTCAATATTGGAGGATATATTTGTTGATGTCAAAATCAATTTTATGATATATTAAATAGACAATTATAAGGTACCTTTGGTTATGAAAGCTAAGGGCCTTTAAATGGGTAACTCTTCATTTGGCATTAAAAAGAGTATATTTTTTTAAATAAACAAAGGTTTTAAATATCAATACGTCCAATATGCCAGTAGGGGCATATCGGTCAGTATCAGCGGCATATCAGGTAGTATCGATTCTTATTTTTATTTTTTTTAATTTTTTTTCAAAACCGGTTCAGGGGGTCAATTTAAGGTTCCTCCACCCCCTGTGTTGGCAGTTGTGAGAAGTCAGCAACCCATTCTTTTGCTTTTCTTCACACTATCCTAGCAGTATTAACTGCTGGCTTTGAGCATGTAAGATGACGGTTTTGAGAAGCCGTCTCTTTCAAAACCATCGGCATATAGATGGTTGGACCGAGACCCTAAGCTGGTGATGTTTCATTCCTAAGCCAGCAACCATGAGCTAGGCCGATAGAGCCAAAGCAGGTAACCACTAAACTGTCAGCTTAGGTCTAAGACGACGGTTTTCCATTTTTTCTTATATACTAGTGGGAGTGCACGTGTATGTTCACCATATTGTTGCCAAAATAACAATTTTGAATTATATAAAGTGGTGGCTTTCAAATATAAAAAAATAATAAAATCAAGGTAAAGATATAATGTCTAAATTCAGCATTTCAAAGCATATGGAATCAAAACTTTCGAAATTCAATATTGTAGAATTTTGACATAGAACATTTATGTTAGTGAATATAGAAATTAATTTAAACAAGAGGATTGAATCAAGTGAACCAGTTGTTTTTTTTTTTTTTTTGCCTAAATACCCAAGTTGGTGTAGCTCACCACACCATAATACAATCTTGAAGGGGAATAAAGGCACTACAAATATTGAGACATCTGTTAATTTTCTGGAATTATAATATAGCTTGTTTACCTTTCAAAAAAATGTTTTAAGACATAAATAAAATTTTAGAGAGTTCATTAATAAGATTCATGATCCGATGAAGACACAAAGAAACATACCCTGTTTATAATTATAAAAGCTAATAATAGAGTTACCTTTGTTTTTTATTAATAATTAGTTCTATCTCCCTATAGTGTAATATATTTATACTATAGGCTCAGGTTGGAAAGAGTACAAATACAAATATGTAGAGTACAAAACCTTGTATTTTTGTGTGTACTTGCACTATACGTATTTGTATTCTTTCCGAACTGAACCATAAGCACAAAAGTAAAATAAAATAAAAATAAAACCATTAACTTTGAGCTGCATGAAAGACATCAAGTCATTCAAGTATATGTATGTGCAGAGGTATCTTTATTACTTGTCATTTTGCAATTATGGATATGCAAAGACTTATATATATATATATATATATATATATATATATACCACAGTGATATTTGAGTCCTATATAGAAGGTATCAAGGCGTAGCCCTTACATTTTCTCTCAAGACATGATAGCATGAATAGAAAGACTATCTTAGATACCAATAAATCAATAACTGACATCAATTATAAGATATATAGCTAGGGCCAATACCACATAGTTCTATAGGTGCTCAAATTTAGAGTTAGTTCCAAATATAATAGAACAATACAGTTAAGGTAATAGATATCCATTTTTATTATGATTATTTAAAAGTTCATGATCTTTATAAGTTCAAAATGAAAGGTTGAAAGGTGTTGTTAAAATCCACCAATAGTAAATAATTTTTTTTTTTATTATGCAGTATAAAAGATCATTGCATAAACTTACATGAGGTAGAACTAGTTGACTAATTTTTCAGGTTCTACAGTGTCCTAAGATGTCCAATAAAATGAATGGAGTAAAAGAATCTAACTAAGTTTGACAAAGTATTTGAAAAATGATGCCAAAAAGGTGTGGATAAAGTAAATTAAAAGCTATATTGAATAAGGTAACTAATAAATCAATGAACAACAAACATGTTGGTAGAAAACTAAAATAGGAAAAAAGGAACTGGGGAGAAACAATTGGTAAGAACTCTTCACCTGATGAATAATGTAGCACTCTGTTCCATTTCCATATAGATTAAGAGGCTCTTTTTGAGAATGAAAATTATAGTGGTATAATCCACTATTGCTAGCAATTTTGATTACATTAATGGCATTCCCCTCTATTAGGAGGTTGAATTGATAATGATTATAAATTCGAATCCTAGTGATAAAACTCTAATTTGTCATCCGTCCACGTATCATCCAAAACTGCATGGTCTTATACACTTAACAAGCTAGTTATCACCAGAATTAAACTTTGAGACCCTAATTCATGCATCATTTGATTATCAGTTACATGTATTTGCCTTAAACAACAAAATCCAATATTTATGGAAGTCATAGATAGCATAAACCCTAGGTCCAGACAATAAAAAAAGGATCTTTATCATCACGTTTAATGAGATGTGGTTTTACTTTTACGCCTTCAAGCTCCTACCAGCAATCTCTGCAGCCACGAGAACAAGATCCATCTATAAGATGGCAAAATTTCATACCACACGCGGACTCTAATATTTATTTGAACCCAATCCTCTGATTTAAAGACATTAGTTTTTACCAATATCAACCCAACTATAATCAATTAAGCAACTTCTCAGCAAAGCATGAACATATCAACATAAGTATGGTTTTTTGAACTGTATCACATTTGACATATCCATAAAAAATGTTCAATTGTAAACTCCAATTTAACTGGATAATGGTCCCTCTCTCTTTTGTTCATTTAATGCATTTGTGCATTCAAATGGTAAGCGACATCAACTCATAATTATCGGTCCTCATGCGACGGGATCTGCTGCAAGCAGCAAGTATAAAATAAATTGGAAAAAATTAGAAAAAAATTAATATATAAAATGATCAAGAAATAAAAAATAGTTGTGGAAGCGGAATGGGATTGGCAATTTGGCATAAGTGGGGGCGAAGTAAGTGATGACTACCTCTCTTCTTGTTGCTCTACAAAATGAGCTCCTCACATATGGGATTTTAACAACATATGGTTGGTTTTGGTGGCATGACTATGTTGTTTCCGGTACATAAGATGCTGAACCATTTTCCGAATGCTCGAGCCTCAGTTATCTTATTGGAAGCATAGAAGATTGTGAAGAAAGTGTTGAAGATTAGAAGTCAGAAGAAGCATAGCACCTAACTCGCCATTTGATAAATAAACCTAATATATTCCAAAAAGATAAACATTTTATTAACATATCGATGAACTCCCCCACTTGGGGGTGGGTTGCAATAAGTGGACAGTTGCCTAATACACTTGTCCAATTCCATGCAACCTAAGTCTATAACATGTGTCTCAAATGTCAGATTCTCAATCCCATTGATTGAAATAACAAATTGAATAAGGGGTAGAATTGGAAACAAAAGTCAGGGTCTCTTGACCAAAACTAAGAGAAACATGCTCATTTTTATTAATGGTTATTGGTTATATTTTATATATAAGATCACCCCTAATGATTTTTTACAAGGTCAGACTATTCGAGAGAAAAAAAAAAGAACTCGAGTGCACAACCCTTAAACCGATCAACCAGCATATAAAAGTGAAAACCAAAATTTACAAGGAGGGTTGATCTGTCAAACCTCTTATGGGCCGGGCCTAACATGTTTGCCTCTGACCTAGGCCCTGACGTGGGTCTGATCCCGATCCGACTTGTAGACAAAATATAAGGGCGCCAAAGTTTTCGGGCCGGTCCAGTCCGGGCTAGAAATGATAGCCCTAGAGGATCCGGAGCCTGCAGGCGAATGGGCCACGCACAATCTCCTACACGTGGAGTTGGTGGCGGTGAAGCTTCTCTAAAAATTGAAAAACCCTACCCTGACTCCGGTTTTTTTTTCCCGATCCCTTCTACCGCCTTCCGACCTCAATCCCCACCGCCGGCGAGGCAAGAAGGTATCTCTCTCTCTCTATAGTATTTCGGTTTCAACAATGGTGGTCACTCGTTACTGGTGAATATGTAGGTCTTGTGATGGAGATAACGGACAGAATGGGGGTCCATAGTGACGGGGAGGAGATGCCAAAGACGAAGCACAAGGGGAAACATGACAAACCAAAGCCATGGGATGACCCCAGCATCGATCACTGGAAGATTGAGAAGTTCGATCCGTCTTGGAATGAAGGTGGAATGCTAGAAGTCAGTTCCTTCTCCACATTGTTCCCTCAATATAGAGGTCTGTCTTCATTTCTACTTCCTATTTTACCCTAGTTCTGTTAGCATTAGCAGTGTTTTTTTTTATCCCTTTTTTGGTGTTATACGAGGATAGGTTTGAGGGTCATATAGGTTGGGCATATGAAATTTCGGAACTGGATTTAGTTATGCAATTGAGATGATTTTTTTTTTCCAATCTTTTATTTTCCCATCTCTTTGTACATAAATAGTGCTTACTTCGATGTACTTTCCATAAATTGTAGTTGTTCTTTCTTTTCCTTCTCTCTCTCTCTCTCTCTCTCTTCTCATGTCAAGAAGTTATGTGTTTAATTAGTAAATTGGTTTGTGTTCGTGACAGCAACATTGTAGATAGAGGAAATAAAATGAAAATGGTAGAGATTTGTAGAAATAGTGTGAAAAATGGTTATGCCATTTAGACTTCAAATATTCAACTTCAAATTGGATCACTATCATCATATAAGCCTTGTTCCAACTATTTGGGGTCGACTACATGAGTCCTATTTTACCATTCTGTTCTGTTGAGTGGCATATCGGTCGTTGAACTATGGAGGCTTAAATCATTTCTTATTACTTCCACCCAAGTCCTTTTGGATTTATGTTTACAAACTGTGAGCTATAATCATCTTTCTTATGAGAAAGGGTGATTAGTGGGATGAAATCAAATGTTTTCTGAAGGATACATGGTTATAGTTCCTTTATAAATGGAAGAACTTTCCTGATTGATGTGGTAGTTCATCTTAATATGGTTTATATTGTGAATGATTATGGAGGCATAGTAAGTCAGTTATATGAGGGAAACAAGCAAGTCTTGAGGTTTATCAGGAGCTGATCATGGAGCACTGAGATGGTAGTGGCAAAGAATCAGGGTTTGAGTGGAGATCTGATACAATGATCAAAGTCTAGTTTACAGGTGGGAGTTGGGTATCATGGGCTGGTCTTCACCTGCAAGAAAGACAACTTAGATCTGATTCAGAGGTTAGAATTACATACAATCTTCTAATGTATGACCAGTAGGCCAGTAAAAGAGAAATTTACTTTTTGCACTCAGAAATTAAGTTAAGTCCCTTCAAAGATAAATGCTCTACTGGAAGAGGACACGTGGAGATGGAGCTGGAGTTGGAGTAGTGATGGAGTTTTCTCTGTGAGCTCTTTTGCTAGTAAGCTAGCTACTGGCCCTCAAGCTGATTTTCCTGCAGAGAAAGTCTGGAACCAGGTTGTCCCTTCAAAGATAAACACTCTACTCTGGGCTGTGGCTTTAGATAAATGTCTCACAAAAAAAAATCTGGTGAAGAGAGGAATCCAGCTCCAGAACCTGCATTGTGTGCTCTGCAATCAGGTGGAAGAGGAGAACAACCACCTTTTTCTGCACTGTTCTGTGTCTTACGCGATCTTGAGCCATTTCTTGTCTCTTTGGCAGCTCCACTGGGTCATGCCAGCGACTGTGTGATCTTTTGTGGTGTTGGGAGCTTAAGGGACAGTCCAAGATCACAGAGTGTTTGGTCTTTGTCTTCCATCCCAGCTGCGGTTTTAAGCACTATTTGGGCTGAAAGGAACAACAGAATTTTCCAAAACAAATATAATGAAGTCGATCAACTTATCTCCTATACATTTGGAAAAATAATTTCTTGGACTGCTGCTGTGAAAGGTCTTCAACCAAGGACTTTAGGAGCCCAGCTGCTGGCTGGGGAGATCTAACTTTCTTTGTACTCTTGGTTTTGGGCTTCAATGGAAAGGCCCTTTGTAATTTGTATGTTGTTCTTTCATTAATAAGTTACCTTACCTTTTTAAAAAAAAGTTAAAGTCCCTTCTTATTTCTTGTATTCCTTTGGTTTAAATTTAATGAATTCATTTCAATTATTGATAAGAAATTAAGCTAGGCCCTGAATCCCTAGGAAGTGGTCCTAGACTTTATAGGCCCAAAAACATGTTGTTGACTCACCCAAATTTTGTAAATAAGGTTAAATAGTGGTGGACTGAAGAGTGAAGGGGGGTTAAGTGGAAAGGAGTCAGATTTCATAAAATACTGAAAAGACTTCGGTTCAAAATATAAGAATAGAACAGGGCCACTTTGGGCAATTAGAGGAATAGAAGTCTTCTCTACTGTCCCAGATTGAGGTGTTGGGATGAGAAGTCCCAAATTGAGGTGTTGGATGAGAAGGAATCCAAAAGGTTGCTTAATGTTCAAGAAAGAGAGGTGAGACGGAATTTGAAGGAGTTGGAAGAGGTCCTTTATAGAGAGGAAATATCTTGGAAACAGAAGTGAAGACATAAATGGATTAAGGAAGGGGATGGGAATACTAAATTCTTTCATGCCTTGGCTAATAAGAGAAGAATAAAAAACTTTGTGGCTGAATTATAGGTAAATGGGAAGTCAAATGGCTTACGAGAACCATGTCAGTTAGCTTTCAGTGGGTTAGTAGGTCGGCAAATGCTTTGGCAGATTCTTTAGCTAAACAAGGGGCTTCAAGGGATTCTCTGTTTTTGGCTAATTTGTAACTGCAATCTGAAAAGAGTTGGGTTTGGAACCACCTTTAAGGGGAGGTAACACCTCGTGCCTCCTCTTAGGGTGCTTCATGCTTGTACTATTTCTATCTCTATTTAATAAAATACCATTCGTTCATAAAAAAAAAATTATAGGTAAATGGGGAGGAAACTTATCCTTAAGATTAGATAGCTAGGATTTTTGTGGATCATTTCAAGTCACTTTTTAGAAGACCTTTGAATGGTAGGTTGAGGGTGGAAGGAGTGAATTGGCCACATTTGTCCCAGGATGACATAAGGTGGATAGAAAGGAATTTTGAGGAAGGGGAAATTAAGCAGGTAGTCTTATCAATGGATAGATCAAAGGCTCTAGGCCATATGGATTACTATGGCTTTTTATTAGGACTATTGGGAGGTGATAAAAGAAGATCTTTTTGAGGATTTCTAAGAGATTGTAGATAAGCATACAATTATCCTTGGAGTCAATGCCACTTTTTTGGCCTTAATCCCCTAAAAGATAGGAGCTAGTCAACCTAAGGATTTCAGATCTATTAGCTTGGTGACTAGCATTTATGAAATCTTGGATAAGGTTCTATCCCTGAGAATTAGAGCTGTCCTTCCCTTCTCATTAGTCAAGCTCAAGGTGCTTTTGTGCAGGGTAGACAAATAAGTGATCAGATTTGAATAGCCAATGATTGTGTGGGGGAAGTGAGGAGGTCTAGCCGTCAAGGTTTTGTTTGCAAATTGGATATCAAAAAGGCTTGTGATTTGTGAATTGGAACTTCCTATTAGGGGTGTTGTGTAGTTGTGGTTTTGGTGAAAGATGGTGCAAGTGGGTAAGTGGCTGTCTTGTTTCTTGTCACTATTCAGTTTTAGTAAGTGATTTAAAAGGCGCTCTTAGGCACAACACTTTCAAGTGGTGCACGCTTGGTGTGCCTAGGCATGCGCTTGCTGCACCTTGTGCTTCAGTCCAGACGTGTGTCTTTTGAAAATATATTTTTTAAAAGACCCTAATATGGACTTGTTTGGGATTGCCTCGAGGGGCTTGGTACAAAGGTGGCTTGTAGAATTGGGAATGCATAATTGGGGGGGGGGGGAGAATAACTGTAATCAAGTCTACCTTAGCAAATCTTCCAGTGTACTACATGTCAGTGTTCAGGATGCCACAAGGGATAGTGAGGAAATTTGAAAAAAGTCATGAGGGATTTTCTTTGGGAGCCAAGGGAAAAAAGAAAGATCATTTGGTTAGATGGGAAAAGGTGGTGAAATTGAAGGTAGAAGGGGGTTTGGGAATTGGTAATGTTAGGTTGAAGAATTAGGCTTTGCTTAGCAAATAGCTTTGGAGGTTTCCAAATGAAAATGAGAAATTATGGCACAAAGTTGTTGCAAGCATTCATGGCATGTCGAGCAACGGATGAGATGCTGGATGTCTTCATAGGGCTACCTTGGTTGCTCCCTGGAAGGCCATCCATGATGTTTTCCCTACTTTCCTAAATCATATATGGTATGACTTGTCTTTTGGTAGTAAAATCAGATTTTGGGAGGATGTGTGGATTGGGGATACTCTTTTGGGTGAGAAATTTCCTTGTCTTTGTGATCTGTCCAGGTTCAAGGGTAGGCCTATTTCAGATTTCCTAAGTCAACGTTCTAACCTCCTAGGGTTGAATTGAAACTTTGGCTTTAACAGGAACCTTAGAGAGTCTGAACTTCTTGTAGTGTCCAAGCTGTTAGGCTTGCTGAATTCAGTGTTCTTGGGAGAAGGTGGGTTAGATTCTAGGATTTGGGGTCCTAATTCTGATGGGTCGTTTTCTTGTAAATCCTTTCTACACTCATTGGTTGCCACCTCCTCTTCTCATCCTTTCCCAGTCAAAAAAATTTGGTGCCCTCCCATTCCCCCTAAAATCAATGCTTTTTGTTGGTAAGTATTTCATGGTTGTATTAATACTTTTGATGTACTTCAAAGAAAAAGACCAAATTGGTGCTTGCCCCCCAACTGGTGTGTCCTGTGTAAGTTGAATGGTGAGACTGCTTCCCACCTTCTAATATCTTGCCCTTTTGTCAGCTTTATTTGAAATTGGTTTACTTCCCTTTTTGGGTGTAGGTGGTTTTCTCCTGATGGGTTGGAAGGTTTATTCAGCCCTACTAGTATTAGTGGCATGAAAAGGAGGGGTAGGATCCTATGGAGGTGTACTAGAGCAGCACTACTTTGGACTATTTGGGAGGAAAGAAATGCAAGAATATTTGAAGGAAAAGAAAAATGTAAGGAAGCACTGGTGAAAACAATAACATTGAGGGCGACTCATTGGGCAAAAAGCTTAAAGTTGTTTTCAGCTTTTAAGGTTGAAGACTTTTTAGGGTTTGGGGACTTATTGTTGCCTCTTCATCTACGAGACAACAGTTTTTTGAGGCATGGTCTCCTCCAATAGATGGATGGAAGAAGCTGAACTTTGATGGGAGTTGTGTGGGTAATCCAGGCCTCTTAGGCATTGGGGGGGGCATTAGAGATGAAGATGGAAAATTATTGCTTTGTACTCCGGTCCTGTGGAGCAGGGTGATGTGGCAAGGGCAGAGTTTCTAGCTGCAGCATATGGGTTTGAGAACACTGAAGAGTTGGGTATTAATAGGCTGATCATCGACGGAGACTAAAAAACTGTGATAAAATGGTTGCAGAAAGGGGAAGTGGTGACATGGCAGCTGAGGAATGAAATCCGAAGATTTAAATGGATGTCAAGGGACATGTCAATCCAGGTGGGATGGGTGAGGAGATCTGCCAACAGTTTGGCAGATAGCTTAGCAAAGCAAGGGGTTCAAAGAACACATATGTTTTGGGCACATCTGTAGCTCTATTTTGGGTCAGCTTACAAAAGTTTTTTTTTTTTTTGATAGGAAAGAAAAAAGAAGGAAACAAGTATACAAGGAGCATATGGGCTTGTGGGCCAAGTAAAAACTGTAAAAAATAAAAAACACAAAAAAGATAACCAAATAGAGAAAAGAGTGGCATAATCCACACCCTGCCAACCTCCATGCCTCATTCTGTACTATGAGAATCAAACCTGAGGTTTTCTACTCCAACCTCTGGAGCAATCTAGATCATTATTTCACCCCCAACAAACTTAAACCATTACTATGGCTGCCTTAATTTTAACCTTACTTCTACCTCTCTCCTTGGTCTTCTTTACAAGACCCATCTCAAGCATCCTGTACTATGGTCCCTCCCCTTAAAATGCAGGCTTGACCACAATACCACATTTCACTGTTAAAGATCCTGAACCTCCTTAGACAAAGCTCCAGAATCCATGGATTCACCATGAGATGATTGCGTCCTTGACAGCAATAAGAGGTTCTCTCTCTCTCTCTCTCTCTCTCTCTTGCATGAACCTTGGCCTCATGCTGGACTTAGCATCTAGGGTACTGGTCTACTTTCTTGCTTAAGTTTGACTATGAAGATGTTGCCAATGATTCCACTGAAATTTTAGAATATGTAGAGTATCCAGAAAATGGATACTAGGATCCTGGTGAAGTTTTAGAGCGAATGGTGGAATATGATGGGTCATGAGTGGAAAAATTGCACCAGCTTATCGATGAAAAAAAATTGCCACAGCTAGTCAATCATGGAGAATTAGATCTTTCTACTTGCTATAGTTGATAACTATCTTTTTTTTTTTGTCTTACTAAGTGTGATTATATTGGATGGAACAAAGAACCAGGGAACGATCCCCAGAGGTTGGTTCAGTTTTTGTATGAATCTGTAAGTACAACAGCTTTACAAATTCATTTCAGATGGATTCTGTGGCTGATGGGCTTGCTAGGTTTGGCAACGAGAGGGTCTATATGTACAGTAATGGGTCCATGCAGACAGGCTGTTTCATCTTGTATATCATGCACATTCTATCATGTATTATCACTTCGAGTTTGATGTTAATACACATACTGTTTTTCTTCTTTGAAAAAATTGTGATTTTCTCGGGTTTGTTCTTTAATATACTTGTGTATGTTTTCTTATTCATTAGCATTCACCTTCATGTCTTCCAGAGAAGTACTTGCAAGAAGCTTGGCCTATTGTAAAGGGTGCACTGAAAGAGTATGGTGTTGCATGTGAACTTAATTTGGTAAGTTCCATTAGATGCTTTTGCTTAAATGATGGAACTTTTATGGTTTGGCTTGTTAAAATGAATTATGTTTCTTTCATATTTAATTCAATGTGTATATAATTACAATTTCATGCATATAGGCTAATTAGCATTTATGCATAGATGACTTGCAAAAGTGATTGCATAAGAGACAGCTTATCTTTTAATGACCTGTGGAGGCAGTGGGCAGAAGTGGCAAGCAGTTCCTCATTGAAGACAAAGATGCACATGAGCTGGGTACCCCCACCTGAAGGCTTCCTGAAATTAAATTTTGATGGGAGTAGCCTGGGCAATCCAGGCCCTTCTGGGATGGGAGGAGTTATAAGGAATGGAAGTGGTTCTGTGGTTCTTTTTTCAGGCCCTTTAGGTGAGGGGGACTCCACGAGGGTAGAACTATTAGCTGCACTACAAGGGGTACAGTTTACTGTACAGATAAGAGTGGAGCAGCTACTAATAGAAGGTGATTCTAAGGTGGTCGTGGGGTGGTTACAGAATCCAGAGACTGTAGTTTGGTGCTTCAGAAATGAACTTAAAAGATTCAAATGCTTGACAAGAAATTTGTATGTTAGAATACAATGGGTAGGGAGATCTGCTAATGCTATTTATCCAAGCAAGGGGCAACGAGGGAACATCTGTATTGGGCTCAGCTGAAATCTTTTTTTTTTTTTTAGTGTTGGAAGGGTTGGAGAGGTTGCAGCTCGTGCGTCTTCAAGTGTCTTCTGTAAAAGTTGCTTCTAATTTCTTTCTCTAATAAATTCTTCATTTATCAAAGAAAAAAAAGAGACAACTTATCTTAAATTGTCCACATCTGATGTAAGAGTAGGACAATACAAAAATTGTCAAGGACAATGGACCCATTATCTCCTGGCAATCTAGGGCCTTATGAGGGGTTGACTAGATATGGACCTAACTTTTGGCATTTTGTTGCATAAAGTGGTTGTTCTCAGTCTTGAATCATTGTTCTCAAATTTTTCATCCCAAGGTTTTGCCATATCACCAAGCAATGGTCCCTAGGACAATGATGGTCAAATTTATATTATTTACTTTAGAATAAGAGTTATTCTTTTTGGGACTTTCAGTTCTGATCAGAACTCACCTGTTTTGCATGATTAGGGTGGCATTGAAAAGAATTTTTGATTACCCATACAAGGGACCATGATCTTGGGAATCTGAAATGATTTGAGTGAGTTATGATCATTTTAATGATAGGGTATTATATTCTGATGGAGTTTGACATTTAGAAAATTATAATTTTTACTTGGACTTTCTTGGGTCTTAATTAGGGCTTTATTCGATATTTTGAATACTGGACTGGCTGGTTAAACCATAACCCACTCTAGTTAAAAGTTAAAACTATCTGGTCCTGGTGTTTTGGGGTTGAATTGCCTAGTTAAGCCAGGAAATTAGAATCAGGAAACTTTTTTTTTTTAAAGACAGTATATTATAAAGCAGGAATCTTTTTTGCTTCAATTCCCTCTCCAGTTTTCAATCAAAACATTTGTTTTCTTATAAATGGGTGTTAGAAGGTGTTGTAAAAGAAGCTTTAATTGTTGAATGAAGTTAAAATCATTCTATGAGATTGTTTTGATAATTTATTATTCGAGAAATTTCTCTGTTGGTTTGAACAGGCTTTCTTGTGATCTTAATGGAATAAGGCAAGTGCTAAGTTAGCACCTTGCACCCCCACACCTCAAAGAAAAAAAAACATAATGCCATAATGGTTAAATTGGGTTGTTGGAAGAAAGGGGAGATTATGATCTTGCATGTAATACATATATGGGTAAGGATGAATAGAGCTTTATGGATCCATTGTCAATTCAAATTGGGCTAACGAGGCTCTAAGTTGAGCCCAAAATTCAGTGAAGTTGCAAGCTGAGTTTAGTTTATTAGAGATAACTTCGGACTTGACTTAAGTCACTTACCCAAGTCGAGGGAGGGGAAACGAAGTCCATAAGTTGTTCAACTTACCAGTTGACCAACTTGCCCCCCTCTAAATATCGGAAAATGAACAAGGCCTTAGATGTAATGAGACAGATGGTAATTATGATAATTGATTTGATGATGGTAACCCTGCCTTTTGATGTCATTTCCTTGTAAGTGAAGTCATGGTAAGTACTTAGCTATGTTGTTTTTGTTTGACTGAGTGTAACCACTACCACTATTCAGGTTGAGGGTTCTATGACTGTTTCAACAACTCGGAAGACCAGAGATCCGTATATCATCATTAAAGCTAGGGACCTCATAAAGCTTTTATCAAGAAGTGTTCCTGCACCTCAGGTATATCTTTTTCTATGTAATTAAGTGTTTATATTGCACTTTTTTCTTTTGTACCATGTGGATATTCTATAGGGTTTTGGAACATGTAAAGTTCAGAAACATAACACTCTCATTATTTTTCCTTTGTTATGAGTTTAGCAGCTTAATGTAAGGCAACTTTGTTGACTATTTTTTCAAGAGCAACTGTTAAAAAAAAAGGGAAAAAAATAAATTATAAAAACTGTCTGTTTGAGAGCTTTTTGAGGTTGAAATTTCTGTTGTCACATCTGAACATCAGGGCGGAGGAGCACATAGTTGGTCGTGACTTGTGGGGCATATTTGCCCCCTACTTAATTACTTATTTAGTAAATGTAAAAAGGTAAACAATTTCACTCCTTAAAAGCCATTGACCGAATCTTGTATCTTATCCACTGGCTTCTGTGCTGGCAAATTGTGATGCATTCATCATCAGTCAGAGTGATAGCTGTTGCCTGGTTCAAGGGTGAATGCAGCTTGGGGAATTCTGGTATGGGTGAGGTGTTTAGATGGGTTCATATTAACAGTCTTCTCCCATAGGTCATGGGGATTCAACAAGAGCTGAGCCAAAAATCTCTCTAATACAGAAACATAGTGGTGGAGGGGGATTCATGGGTAGCTGTTGCCTGGTTCAAGGATAATTGTAGAGACAATTGGCAAGGTTCTTGGCAATGTTGGCATGTGATGAGGGAGGTGAGACAGCTGGCAAGGGAATTGTGTAGAACTTTTACCTAGATTTAGAGGTCAACCAATGGTTTTGGTTGATGCCTTACCTGTTGGTTTACTTTCTTTCTGTCTTAAAAATCCCAGTGAGGGTTGCCCAAAAAGTCAATAAAAATCCCATTCTTATCAACTGGAACATGGTGTAGAAATATTTTGTTGCTTGGTAAGTGGGTGTGGAGATTTCCATTAGATACAGATAAGTCATGGCATGCTGTGATTATTTAATGGATGAGATACAGTTGTGGATTCAAAAGCCTCTTTTGTCTCTCCTTGGAAATTAATGGCAGAAATTCTTAATGATTTTCTTGTTTGGGTTTGTTATAGTGCTTCAAATGGTAGAAATGTTAAATTTTGGGAAGACTTATGGAGGGTGGAAATGCAATTAAAAGAGAAATTCCCTAGTACAGTATCCCAATGTGTCACAAATTATAATTTGGGGTTAGTTTAGGATCTAGGCTTTAGGAGAGGGTTAAAGGAATATGAAATGACCCTGGTCATGGAACTCATTGATCTACTAGGAGGCACTTCCTTTGATTTGTCCATCGCTCATAGTAGAAAGTGGTCTTGGACTGGAACCTCTTCAGCCTAACAGATTAAAGTTAAAACTTTGATGGAAACTCTTTAGGAAATCCCGGGCTTTCAGGAATTGAATGAGTGCTCAGGGATGACACAGGGAAAGTGGTAACCCTATTTTCAGGCCTGATAGGAGTAGGGGACTTGGCAAGAGCAGAAATAATGGCCTTACTTGAGGGTCTGAAACTAGCAAAAAAGTGGGGATTTAAGAAATTGGAGATAGAAGGTAATTCAAAATTAGTAATTTCCTGGATGGATGACAGCAATCCAGGTTTGTGGAAGTTCAGACATCTAATCAGAGAAATAAAGAGGTTAGTAGAGGATCTTGAGGCAAATTTCAAGTGGGTTAAGAAAACAGCAAATGACATGGCTTATACTTTGGCAAAACAAGGGGTATATAGGTATCAACTTTTCTGGGCAGATTTGGGATAATCTTGTAACTTGTGAAAAACTATGCTTCTCGTATGTTTTTAAAATTTGATCTTAATCTGTACTGTATTTCTTCCTCTTACAATCAAATGAATTCCTATTGATTACTGATAAAAAGAAATTGGATGGCTATTGCTTTTTTTCGAACAATTTTGCAAAACTCTTCACCTTTTAGGGTTTTTCCAGGCAAAGACATTTGGAAGAGACTTACTGGCTTGGTGTTGGGAGGGAATACATTAGAAGATTAATACTTGTAAGATCCTCGAAGAAAGGAGACCTAGATGTTTTCACAGGATTTGGAAAATTCCTAAAAGGACACTCTCTCTCTCCAATTAAGAGAGGGTTATGGAGATGCATGAGAGCAGCTATCCTTTGGTTCTTTTGGGAAGAAAGGACTGTGAATTTTTAGTGAAGGAACTCATGCTAAAGAAGCCTTAATCGAAAATATAACAATAAAGGTGGTGCATTGGTCAAAACTATGCCCCTTTTGATTCTTTCTCTGTTGAGGATATCACAAGTAGCTCGAAACAAGTTGCTTCATCATCTTCAGTTAGAATTATTGCCTTAATGGACTGGTCCCCTTCACTAGGAACCTGATATAATTGAACTTTGGTAAGTGCAGTTTGGGTCTTTGGGAAACCCAGGAATTTCAGGAGTGGGGAGGGGGGAATCTTTCGGAATCATGAAAGAGAGGTATAAGGTATTAGCTATCTATTTAGGACTAATTGGCCAGAACTCAATAGAGACTGAATTAATAGTAGTACTTCATGCCTTCATGGACTAAAACTAGGGAGGTCACTCAGAATCTCGGATATGGGATCTTTATTGTGGAGGGTGATTCAAGGATAATAGTAGAGTTGATAAGACATCCATGGGGACAAAGACATACTTTAAGCGAAGCAAGGAACATAGCAAGGGAGCTGAATACCACCTTTGCTTAGTGAATGGTATGTTAGATACCCTAGCAAGATAGTACCAGCAGAGACCTTTTTTTTGGGGGGGGGGGCACAGATAGAGAAATAGAATGATATATGTAATGTAAAAAATGGACACACATGGGTTAGGCAGCTGGGCTAACTGTACTATATATTCTTTCTCACACATTAAAAAATTGATAAAAAGTTACCAACCAAAAAAAATCCCTGAATGAACAGGATCCAGTTCTTATGGGGGGTCACCTCCCAATGAATATATTTAATGTGTAAAAGGAAGGGTTAAGACTCAAGTAGCATAAACTAGCCTTAAACATGGGCTGCTTAGAATATCTTGATTGTCTTTTCACAAATATGACTTGTCTGCTAGCCTAGAATTGAGGGTTAAGTAGCGTATTTTCTTGATCTGTTAAACCTTTCCTTCACCTGGAATATATTGAGAGGTTTAATAAAATAATGTAAAAATAATATGTCTTCTCCATTAAACATTGGGATTCACTTGTAAAGTTTGTTGATGTGATAGGCAGTCAAGATACTCAATGATGAAATGCAATGTGACATTATTAAAATTGGTGGTCTCATCCGCAACAAGGTATGTTCTATTTTGTCTTTCACTATTAGTTGATGTGGTCCTTAATGTTTTTTGTTTTCTTTTCTATCACTTTTCCTCTCTTTTTTTGGAATTTATGATGAACTGTTCATGTTCTTTTTTTCCTGAGGCTATGAAGATATTTAAGGGAGGCATCACTGCCTTTTTAGCTGTATACATTAGCAGATTTTTTGGGGAAGTTTGTTGGATGCTTTAAATTTTTTTTGGCCTTCTTTTCCTGCCAGGTAACTATCATTTTATTAAGATTTAGGAAATAGAAAAGGGTGATACATGCAAGAGCCAAACAAGGGTATAGGAGAATCTACAAAAAGATGAGTGTACCTCCACAAAGATAAACCAATTTATGTATCCAGGCTCTCCAACACAACATAAATGCCCTATAGAGAAGTCAAGATTAGAAAGTCTACACTCTAAAGGGACCCCCTACTCTAGTTTAACATATTATGGACAGTAACCTACTCTAGTTTTATATACAGTATCCTCATCTGTTTTTCCTTCATTATGGATGATTGATCCAAGTTATCAGAAGTGACCGGTTTGGAGTTTCTCCTGATCATCAATTTATATTGAAATTGCAGTACATGTACTCTGTCTTGGTCTGACTTATCTTAAAAACCTTTTAATTCTAAAGCATCTCATCTCTATAACTATCATTCTAGGTTTACATTTAGCCCATTGTAAGTCCTATAAATGAATGCTATGTCATCAACAAAAAATATAGGCTCCAGGACCTCCTATAGATGTCTAGGTAATTGATCCAATATACCATCTTGTTCTTTTATAATTGATTGGGCTTCTATTGTAAGCTATGTGCAAGAGGATGGGTTTTTTAGACAGGAGTATTTGGAATAAAGGTATTACATGGTAGATAGACTCTTTAAGGTTTTTTAGCTGCTCCCTATTCCTTTCTCTTTATTCTATTGATGTTACATGTCAATATACTTGTTTAATAAAAAATATTTGTAGTAGACTGCTCTTTCCAATCCAACAATTAAACGGGTACTTAAATTTAGTGAAACATTATGGCCATAAAATTCTGTGGCAGAGTATTTGTATTCACAAAACTATAACTATATGCTTTGGATGGTGACTGGAAGTATGATGTGCAAAGAAGGAAAAAGATAAATAGAACAGTAGAGAGTTTGAAAATGGGGCGGTAGCTCTCACTCTGTCCCGAACTCCAGATCACATTTGTATTTATATAGGAGTTTGAAATAACGAAGGAAATTACAAAAGAGCCCTTAACAGGTGGGCTGAGAAAGTAGAGAGGATACTAGGGATATGTGGCCCAGGCCCTTACAGAAATAAGAAACATGCATTGCATCCCACTCTTAACATTATGTCTCACAACAGTGAGAGCCACACTTTTGTTTCTTACTGCATGTTTAGCAATTTCGTGCTCTTGTTAAGCCTGATGGTGTGTATCGATCTGGTAATTTCTATCTTCTCAGGAACGATTTGTTAAGCGAAGGCAGCATCTTCTGGGCCCCAATTCATCCACACTGAAGGTACAATTGCAATCATATTCTTGAAGAGAAATTTTCTTCCATAGCATTTTCCAGTTTGTTAGTTTTATTTTGACATCATCTGTTATGCAGGCTATCGAGATTTTGACAAAATGCTATGTTCTAGTTCAGGTTTCTCTCTGCAGCATTATGATTTTGTTTTGTGATGCATTTTTCTCTTACTTCTTCCTGGTAGCTAGATTATGTGATTATCCAAATGGACAGTCGAAGACTGAAATGATGTTAATGTAACTTGTAAATGGCCAGGGAAACACAGTTGCTGCTATGGGCCCATTCAAAGGTCTAAAGCAAGTCCGAAGGATTGTAGAGGATTGCATCCAGAACAAAATGCATCCTTTATACCATATCAAGGTGACTCCTCACGACAGTGACTGGACAAGCAACTTACGTTTCTTTGATCTAAAATTGTGGTTTCCTTTATCTTTACCAATAAACAGATCCTCATGATGAAACGTGAGCTTGAAAAAAATCCAGCATTGGCAAATGAGAACTGGGATAGGTTCCTTCCCAAGTTTAAGAAGTAAGGAATTTCAGTCAGTTCACTACTAAGACATCTCTTATGTTTTTATGTTGTTATCTGATCATTATGAGAGTTTTTTTTTTTTTTTTCCAGGAAAAATGTTCAGAAGAAGAAAGTAAAAGCTAAAGAGAAGAAACCATATACACCCTTCCCTCCCCCTCAACAGCCCAGCAAGGTGAGATAAACATGAGCATTTTGGTTATTTTAACATCCAACAAGAGACTCAATGCTCTGGCTATTCCTACTTAGTCTTTATATGGCTTGTGACTATTTCCTGTTGGCCCAAAAATATTTTCTGTTTAGAAGTCCATCCAAATCTAAATAAATAAATAAGCATGAAATGTGCAAGTAATAACTACATTCAATTTATCTGTCTTGTAATATGTTCTTTCTGTTACATTTCCTAAATTTAAAGATATACAGCAGTACATGGTTTACCTTGATTGCTCTAATGGATTTGAATGTTAGTCAGATCCAAGTGAGGGGGTATTGCTTTCAATTTCTTTGCATGTTGGCTAGCTCTGTGACAGATAGCTTTGTACTTGTCTCATGGTAGAAGACTGGGCATGAGCTTTTCCCCAATGTTTTGGTTTTACCCAAGCAAATTTGAACTGCTTATTTTTGTTACATGATATGATTTATTTATGTGTTTGGTTTCTTTTTCTGTTTTCTTTTCTGGTTTCCTGTTGTATATATATCCTGCTAGAATGTCAACTTGTTGATTGAGTATTTTTCTGAAGTCCGTTGATCATCCAAAAAGTATAGTTATTTACTTGGTGAGCAATTGTTTAACTTTTTCAGATTGACCTCCAATTGGAAAGTGGTGAATACTTTTTAAGTGACAAAAAGAAATCAGCAAAAAAGTGGCAAGAGAAGCAAGAGAAGCAAGCAGAAAGAACGGCTGAAAACAAAAGAAAAAGAGAGGCTGCTTTTGTTCCTCCCAAGGTTGAAATTGAGCTCTGTTTCCAACACTTTCAGTTGTTATATATGCGTTATTTGATCTGTGCCCTCTCTATCTTGGATCTTGTAGGAACCTACAAGGGAAGAACATGATAAATCCAGTGATGAGAAGAATGATGTCACTGCAATGGCGATGTCCTTGAAGGTATGTATCTGGAACATTTGTTTTGGAATTAGGTGGCGTTTGATAAATCTGAAAAGTTAAAAAGATATTAAAAGTGTCTGAAATCTGAAAAGAGCTATGATGCTTTTCTATTTTTAGATGTTCTGAATAGATAAGGTTGTTTGTGTTGGATCAACCAGTCAGCATCTGAAGTTCAATGATTTTACTATTTTACCCCCAAAACAGATTAAGGTTGTTGGTATGCATATGCTTAATTTTAAGATTTTCCTTTGCAGGAAAAGGCAAAGAAGTTTGGTAAGCAGAAAGCTGTTGAAAATATCAATCCCGAAACATATATTGCTACTTCAGACAAAGCACCTTCAAAAAAGAAGGCCCGGCACTCAAAGTCTTGATTTGTGAAGATGCATGGCATCCTCACTCTAAGGTTTCTACCTTATGAAGGTGTATGGCCTCTTGTTGTAAAAGAGTAGCGAAGATCAACCTAAAGTTGCTACCCAAGAATAGAAAAAGAGAAAGAAAGAGGATCAACCTATTAACTGCGGCAATGGCAGGGGAGCTGACATAAATAGATGCTAGGACTCATCCAACATGGAAGTGTATTTTTTTTTTTTTCACTGGTGAAGTGGTAATATTGGTGGTTCACTAGTATGGATCAATTATGAAGACTTTCGCCAAAAATTAAAAAGCTTAAAGACTCGAAACTTGTCAGGTTCCTTGTGTATGCTCCCTTAACAATTATTGTTTGGATGATAGCATTTAATTTTTAATTTAAAGGTTAATTATATAATTTGGCCTGTTGTAGGTATTGTGATTATCGGGAAAGTGATTTGGGGAATTGGGAGATGCATGAATGGAGATATACTTGGAACACATTGATAGTTTGATATGTTAGAACTTAGAAAAGAAGGTATAAATTGGTATGCCAGGGAGGCATAATCTCAAAAATATATCAATAACACTAATTTTAGGGCTTAATTGGTTATAGATATAGCATAAAACACGGTAAACACAAACCGCATGAGAAGTAAAACATAACAATCAGGACACCGGGCACTTACCCATACGGTATTACGTGTTAGGCTGTGTTTGGTTGCAGTGCAATTGCACTAGTACAAATGTATGGGAGTGCAAATGTGAAAAATGCATATTCTGGTGTAATTTTGTTTTGGGTTTTATTTTATTTTGTTTTATGACTTTAATTTACTTCATTTTTACTGCAATCAAACAAAAGAAGTTAAAATTTGAAACAAAAATGTCAAAATTTACACTTTGCACTGCCATGATTTTGCATCAGTGCAAATTTATTTACATTGCAACCAAACACAACCTTTAGCTTCATCAAATCTCTAAATTTTAAAAAATTAAGAAAACTCAGCCCCATTTGGTTTGTGGACATGGGGGTTTAGAATCAGAATTGGAATGTGTAGGAATTAGGATTCATGATCGTGGGGTTAGTCCCTTCGGAAAGAGTTGGTGATTTTTTTAACCTTGGCTTTCTTATTTTTGATAAGAACAATGAATCTACATTGTGCTATTCAACTACCAACGTATTCTGTAAACAGATTATTGTAAACATTTTTTTTATGTATATAGGCCTAGTATTGTTTTTAAGATTTAATTTACTTTTGTTTGAATTTTCAAAATGATGAATCATACTCAAATAAAATCTGTATCTAGTAGCACAGCAGTATTCAAATTCAATCAGCGACCTGACTCTTCCATGTTTCTAGCATTAGAAAACTGTTATAGATGCTTAACAAAAGAAAGCACATAAAGCGGTTAATAGATCGAGACTTTCCAGAATTCCAGATTTGGACCCAACATATAAGCAGATCTATGTCAAATCAATCAAATCACCACTGAATTAGCCCAAGTTTTTAAACTAATTTATGCCAAAAGCCTCCAGGCTCCGCTAGTCCATGAAGATCATTTTTTTTTGGGGTTTTAACCGTTCAGTCCACGTCTAAAATCCTAGTTTCACACCCTACAGTTGGGGATAGGTGTAAGCTCGGGATTGATATCAATTCACGGCCGGGTATAAGTGTTATAAGTGGAATCGTTCATAAATTTGAATTGTTGTAAGTCTGTAAATCAAATCTAAATTCTGAGGTGAAGTGCAGGCTAAAAATCATTTTTTTTTTTCTCAACTGAATTGATGATGTACGACGATGATGCATGATGTATGGTGATGGGTAACCGTGTGGACTCCAAAGTAATGATGTACACAGAATGAATTTATTATAACTTATGATTTACCAGCACACTCTCATTAGAGGACTCTTTGGTGTCCATATTAACCCTCCCAGAAGTTCTTAATTTCATGATTATTGTACCTATAGAGGATCTGAACTTGTATATATAACTGCATGTATCTTGGTCAGATGACTAGTGCCCGACAAATAAATCTCTTTTGGGTACAAGGAAAAGACTCAGTTTTGAACTTATAACGAAGTTTTATTATTCCTTAGGCCTTAATTAATTGATATGGAGCTCTGATTCTTCTTCTTTCTGCATCTTGTAGTCCATTTCCAAGGTGCAGTTAATTGATATTGGAGCTCTGATTCTTCTTCTCTCTGCATCTTGTAGTCCATTTCCAAGGTGTAAAAAGCTAGGCATGAAAACGATATATATATAGAGAGAGAGAGAGAATTGCAATTAGCTAGCCATTATATAGATAATAAATCCAGAAACAAGAAGCTCTTATTGATGCTGACTAATGCTGTAAATTAAACCCTTAAACCCTTCTTCTTAATGATCACAGCAAAGCTCACAGCGTTTCCCTCCCCCGGGCTCCGTAACGCATAAACATATCTTGCACTCGCCACAAGCTGCTTAGATCAACACAAAAACTTTTACAGTCAGAACTAGAACTATATGATCTTACACCGGACCACACATAAATTAATTAATAGGAAGAAAATAAAATGATAAAATTAGCCAGTGCTAGTGGAATTAAAAATAAAGTGCATGAGTTGAGTGATGTAGGATGCATTACGGATTGCATATTTTTGGTCTCCCTGAAAATCCATAACGAAGGGAAGGCGAGGTGACCCAGAGCGAACAACTTCAGACGATACTGCCAGCAGAAGCAGGACGAACACTAGATTAACAGCAACCTTCATCTCTTCTAGATCTTCTGTATATTGTAACAACTGAAAGATGAATATGATCGATCAGAGACAACAAGAGAAATAATAAGATGAACAATTAATCCCACCAAAATTGTGACATCTCACTCCTTTTTATAGATTGATTCTGTATACATCTCTACTTTAATCCCACCGAACCACTGCTATTAAATTTGAATTATTTTAACCACACTAAATCTATGTTACTATGATAAAGAGTTTAGAGAGTTGAAATTTCAGCCCATATTCTTAACCATTTGATGGGACATGTTTAGAATCAATTTTGTATTAAATAGTTACAACTTTATGGCTACTATCATTTGGAAGTTTTTTTAAAAAAAAAAAAAAAAACTCAACCCAGGAATAGAGATTTGTCAATAGCAACGTTTTAAAAAATGACCTGGAAACGAAATCGACCACTGGTTTTTGGGTCGACAGTCCGACCGTCTAGTTCGAATGAATGGCCCATTCTGACAAATAAAATAAAAAAATAATTAAAAATAAAGAGCGATCAAAACCATTGAAGGGATTGATGGGTCGACCGTTCGACCGCTTGGGTCAATGGGTTGTTGATTTTTTTAACAAATTTTGACAAAAAACCAAGTTTGGGGTAAAATAGAACTGTTTACCTGGACGGTTCCTAGGCCAAACAGTCCGACCGTCGGGGATAATAGCGGTTTGAAAACTTTGATCAATAGTAACTATGTTGCAAAGCATCCATGCTCTTAATTGTCAAAGAAATCTTTGTTTGTTCCATGCATGTCTCTCTGTCGCTGTTAAAACATCCAATGCTCTTAAACTATGCATTGAAAAAACATGTTTTGTAACGATCATTTAATGGATGGTAAAATGGGTCTTAACCATGGTTTTCAAAACCAGACTGGACCGGAAAAAACCAAGAACTAGTTAGGTGATTGGTTCCGGTTTTCCCAAAACTGGATTTTCCATAAAAACCATTGATTTTGATCAACAAACCGCTGACCCGGGCGGTTAACCGTTCAAACGATTTTGATCGTTTTTTTTTTTTTAAGTTTTTTATTTTTATTTTGTCAAAACGGACCGACCGTTCAGGTCAAACGGTCGGACCGTTCGACCCGGTAACTAGACCCCTGACCGGTTCGGTCTCCGGGTCGGTTTTAAAAACCATGCATATAACAGTTCACTCAAGCGGGTTAAGTTTTAAAAACCATGCATGTTAACCACTCTCCACCGTTCTTAGCAAATCTCTTCTCTCAATGCCGCCCAAAGAAGAAACACTTTTCACTTTTCTAAAAATTGGATGTTAATGGCGTTAGGATTTGAAAAAGCTTTAGTTTCCTTTTTTTTGTTTGACCTCTTTCCTATTTCGACTGGGCAGTCACCTTTCCTATTTTTTCTCCACCTTTTTCTTATTTTTAAGATATAAAAAAAGGAAATTGGAGACTAACACCCCTAACCTTACCGTTAGAACACATATGTACATGTGAATTGAGAATGCATGTGGAATGGGACGTAACTGAATCTCATTGGAAGTGTAACATGAGTCTGAAGAATCCAGTCGATCGACCTAGTGACCTGCCATGCAGGCATGCACAGTATAGTGACATGCTGGCTTCATCAACTCCAAGTCAGGTTGTGATAATGGGCATTAAACAAAATATGGAAAATCAGAATATGAAGAATCCACTCCGGATTTACACAGCACAATATGGAGAATCCACTCCGGATTTTCCAGTTATAAAGATAAACTTTAATTAAAAAAATATGGGAAATCAAAATATGACCTTGGTGTATTTATCTCAAGCTAGGAGATAAGATTAGGTTACACTAGAGTTTATCAAGATAAGAAACAAGTTAGTAGAAATCCATCGCAGGTATAGATATGCGATAAACTTGTGATGGAGTCTATCGCAAGTCTATTCATGTGACAATTTCTGGTGATGTGGCAATCATTGATGATGATGTGGCATTATTATCCTCAATATGCTCCCTCAAGCGAATGGGCATAGGGAGCACATGCAGCTTGTGTACAATTGATGTGAAACAAGGAGAAGACAATGGCTTGGTGAAGATGTCAGCGAGCTGCCCAAGGGGCTGAATGTGATGAAGCTGAAGTGATCTCTTAAGAAGAAGATCTCAAAGAAAGTGAAAATTGACCTCAATATGGTGAGTACGCGCATGAAAGATTGGATGAGCAGTAAGGTAGCAAGCACCCACATTATCACAGTAAAGAGATGGAGTCGAGGGGAGATGAATTCCAAGATCAGTCAAGAGGGGCTGCAACCAAAGTAATTTAGTAGTGGTATTGGCAAGGGAGAGGAACTCAGCCTCCGTACTAGATCTTGCAACGGTTTGTTGCTTCTTGGCACTCCAACTAAAAAGGTGAGAACCGAGGTAGATGCAATAGCCACCAGTAGATCGGTGATCATCAGGGCACCCGACCCAATCAACATCAAAGAAGGTAGTGAGATGGACAAAGGATTGGGAAGAGAAAAACAACGCATGATCTAAGGTGTGTTTAAGATACCAAAGGATGCGTTTGACTGCTACCCAGTGTTCGTCCGTGGGACTATGCAGAAACTGACAAGCCTTGTTAACTACGAAGTTGATGC